TGTCTGCAGCGGAGACAGCTGGAGCCATAGAGGCTGCATATAACAAATGTGTTCACTTTCGCCCGAATGCTTTCTCTGTGCCGTCTGGAAATATTGGAAGACGATTTATCACTACCTTGACATCGTTTTATTCCTGCTTCGGAGATGGGGGATCGTATGAAATGATCGCACTCAAGATTGCAGCCGTCTACCAGATGCTAATGCTGCAGAAGCCGGACTGTGACAATAATAAATATGGTAAAATACTTGAGCGCCGCATGGACCAGTGGTCGAAGGGAGATTTTGCAGAGCTGCAACGGGAAGCGGACACCATACAGACCTCTCTTCTATCGTCCAAGAACAAACATAAACGTGATTCAGTGGGTCCGTCGGTTGACCCTGCTAGACGTTTTGCAGATTATGTCACCGCGGGCAAAGTGGGCAAGGCGCTCCGTGGCTTGACAAGCGGTGATGATGGAGGCGTGCATCAGTTGGACGACGAGATTGACGGACGCACTGTCCGGGATATCCTGAAAGACAAACATCCACCCGCAGAGCCGATGAGCGAGGACGCCGTTATTGGTGGTGATCCACCTGCTCCACCTCATCCGATCTATTTCAGCAGCCTTGGACGTCAGTCGATTAAGAGTGCAGCGCTCGGTACGCAGGGTGCTGCGGGGCCGAGTGGTGTTGACGCCGAGAACTGGAGGCATTTTTGCGCTAGTTTCTCTGACGCCTCCCAGGGCCTTTGCGATGCACTAGCATCGTGTGCAAGGCGTTTAGCCTCCACGTACGTGCACCCAGCATCTTTGTCGGCTTTCACTGCGTGCAGATTGATAGCGTTGGACAAGCAACCCGGTGTCCGGCCGATTGGAATAGGTGAGGTCGCTCGACGCATTATAAGCAAGGCCATCCTCTCCGTCGTAGGCCAAGCCGTTCAGGAGGCGGTTGGGTGTATACAGCTATGCGCTGGCCAGGATTGCGGTATAGAGGCGGGAATACATGCGATGCAGCAGGCCTTTGAGCTGGATGACACCGAAGGAATTCTGATGGCGGATGCAAGTAATGCGTTCAACAGACTAAATCGACAGACTTGCTTAACCTGTTCAGCACGAAGGACGTAATAATACGTCATTCAGAATACCACTGCACCACGGAGGACGTAATATTACGTCCTGAGTGTACATCGCGCATATACGCGATTTGTCTGGATCGCGTGCGTTCAAACTATCGTAACTCAGTCAATTCTTGGTCGATTCTCACGATCGAAGTATGTATCTGGAAGAGAAAACTCTCAGCTTGCGATAGAAACAATCGCCGAAGCGATACGAACCCGGGTTGTTGAGATATGCGACTCGACACGGCAAATTCAAAGAGAATTTTTTGCGCGATCTGCAGAACGCGTATTTTGCATTTTCGATCATTTTCGATCATTTTTGCGCTGCCTGCTGCCATGGAAACTAGATTCAAATGATGGTGGCGGATCTCGGGAGTCCTCAAAAAAAATTTGAGCTCGATACGAGCAAGGAGGGCGAAATGGCAGCTGAGGATTTGGTCTCTTGCCCGTGCTCAAGTCTGTCGAGCGCGTGGGTGAAGTTTGCCAGACTGTAGCATGGGCGTTTAGTTTCGCTCCGAGCTGAGTTTGGAACTAGTTTGCTCCTCGTCTCAAGACCTTTTCAGGAAGCTCAAGATCGTGGAATTCGTCCAAGGGAAGGTAAAGTTATCGATCCTTGAACAGGTAGTACTTTCATAGGAAAAACGCCACTTTTGCAGGTGTTGCCGTGGGGAGGCATTCAGGTAGCGTCGTGCTCAAAAGGTTAAGAAATGTTCGGCACTTGTGTCCATCACTTGCTACCGTTCTTATTAATACCTACCGTGATCCAGCTCATCTCTACGTGGACGGTGAAAGTATCCTGTCGCAAGAAGGGACAACACAGGGTGATCCCCTTTCAATGTACATGTACGCGTTGGGAATAATGCCCTTGATACGTTTGGCTGATGAGGCGGGTGCGGTGCAGTCATGGTTCGCGGACGATTCATCCGCTGCTGCTCGTCTTCGCAGACTCCGTCTATGGTGGGACATAATGGACAAGAGAGGACCGGCATATGGATATTACGTAAACCCAAAGAAATCGGTCCTTGTCGTCAAGGAAAGGTGTTACCAGGAGGCGACTGAATTGTTTCGAGACACTGGTGTAATGATAACGGACGAGGGATCACGATATCTTGGCGCAGCAATCGGAAGGGACAGCTTTCTTCAAAGCTATATCAAAACAAAGGTGGACGAATGGATGGGGGAACTGAAGAAGCTAGCAGTATTTGCACAAACCCAGCCGCAGGCTGGGTATTCTGCGTATGTGACGGGCCTCAGGGGTAGATGGGCGTTCCTCTGTCGTACCATGAAGGTACCCGAACCCATGTTCCAACCGCTGGAGGACATTGTGAAGTCTGAACTGATTCCCGCCTTAACTTGCCGTGCACCCCCAGGCGACACCCTCCGACGGCTTATGGCTTTGCCGTGTCGTCTGGGTGGGCTCGGTTTGATTAACCCTGTGTCCCTATGCCAACAATACGACTCGTCGGTTCGGATGACCAACCCTTTGTCTCGGAGAATCTTGTCAGGGGATGGCTCCATCGGTGACTCGGTAGTGTTAATCAGATCGGCCAAGAGAGACGCCAAGGCATCTTCTCGACGTCATCAGAAACTGGAATTCGACGCGATATCGGGCAGTGCGTCGGAGTCGCTACGACATGTCATAGACGTCGCGAAGGAGAAAGGGTCGTCGAGCTGGCTGACGTGCCGTCCACTTAAGAAATATCATTTTAATTTAACAAAGGGAGAGTTTTGGGACGGACTCTGCCTCCGTTACGGATGGACACCGGCCAGGGTACCGTCACACTGCTCTTGCGGCCAAGAGGCAACTGTCGCGCATTCCCTGTCGTGCCCCTATGGAGGGTTTCCCTCCATTAGACACAATGGTATTCGGGACGTCACGGCCCGGCTGCTGGACGAGGTGTGCACCAGTGTGTCCATCGAGCCCTTGCTGCAACCGCTGACGGGGGAGCGTCTTCGCTACCGGACCGCAAATGTGGAAGACCGTGCCCGGTTGGATGTCGCTGCCAATGGTTTGTGGGGCAGTCGTTTTGAGCGTACACTTATTGATATACGGGTTTTTAATCCTCACTCACGCTCAAATCGATCTGCACCACATACTATTGTGTATCAGCGACATGAAAAAGAAAAGAGAAGGCACTATGAGGAGCGGGTGAGGCAGGTTGAGCAAGCCTCCTTTGTTCCGGCGGTCATGTCAGCCAGTGGCGGAATGGGTCCAGCATCAACAGCACTGTACAAACGAATTGCTCATCTGTTGGCGGAGAAGAGGGGTGAGCATTACTCTCATGTTATGGCATTTGTTAGATGCAGGATTTCCTTCAGCCTTCTGAAATCCTGTATCATGTGCATTCGCGGTTGTAGGCGTTTAAATTTTGGTTTGAAATTTGCACCCTCCTGCGGAGCCCACGCTGCTTTGGCAGTGGCGGAGGCTCGCTTGCCGACGTAACCGTCGGAGATCATCATGAACAATGGACTGACTAATTATTCACTTGTCCTGTCTTTATAAATAACATGTTATTGCATATGTTCTTGGTTTACTTTTTGGCCTTTTTCGTGCTTTGGAGTTGATAACATTTTCCTCACTATCGAAAAAAAACTAAAAAAAAAAACTAATACTGTAATAGGCATTATGGAACATGGAACGAAGCGAAGACGGTTGGCCCATATTTTAAGATTTCCCGCTTCATTCCGCTGAGTGCACTAGGCTTCTGTTTGTCGGCTGTCTGATGTCGCGGTAATCTAGCGAGAAGGTACGATTGGAATGCAGTGCTCCGAAAACGTGAATGTGCGAGGCTTGTGTCAAGCTCCGATCCGACACTGCGCAGCTGCCGCACGCAGGCACAAGTGCATTACTATTAGTATTACTCGTACCAGTACCGCAGGCGCAAGTTTAACGTGCTAGGTGGTCACTCAAGGAGGACGAAGACGCATCAAAAAATTAATGACTTCGGACTTTGGTCCGGACAGTATACACTACACGACACATACATGTACCTTGGTTTCTGAGCACACGCCTTGCAGAAAAGGAATGTCCTCCTCGCGACCACTTGTTGATCCGCAGGCCACACTTGTAGTTAGCTTTCTAGCGTGCCGCTCCTCAAAGGACATATTGGTGAAGTCTGGTCAAATGACAACCTGGCTGGAGGGACCCTTTACCTGGTCCAATGGACTTCTTCTGCTCTGAGTTGTTCACCATCCAAATGCGCTGCTTGTGAACAATCATGAAGGTTTCAGGTAGCACCTACGTTCGAAGATCATTGACCCGTTCTAATGGTAGTCCCTGACACCAGGTGTCACTTGTACAATACTTACTCGTATAGCATGTAATACTTTCACCGCCCATGATGTTGAACAGTGTATTTGGTCTACGTATGTCTTGCCACGTATGCTTTATTACATGTGACAATACACGTATGCGCTACGCTAGCTAATAATTGGCATACCTTTGCTCATCTTGTCCAGTACAAGCCTTGGCTCTGGCCGTGTGTACCCATCACATGCCTGAGCATGAATATTATGTATATGGAGGACCGGAGGTTCTTGGATGGCTAGCAAAGCCCCTTCGGTTCAGGTGCTTTGTCCTCCAGAGTGAGATCATACCTACATTGTACATGTACATGTACATGTACCGCTGGTACTCCATTGAATCTACCCAGTTTATACTGGCTAAACAGCAAGAACATACCACCCACAGCACCGCCCAGTGGGTTATTTTTAATAAACGAGTACGTAAGTGCACCCGGTCATTTCACCGCAGGATGCACTGCGCACCAGAACGTTTCAAGAGAAGGCAGATCCATCCAAGTGTGAGAGAGAGGGGGGGGGGGGGGGGTTCCGCCTCGTACAACTCAATGCAGGTACAAGTGCCCTGCCGAAGCATACATGTACCGTCTATAATCTGCTACTCAAGGTTAGGATCAAACTCAAGATGATAGGTGGCTATCCGACAATCACTCCGCAGTCAATGAGGTAGTCTGAGGTATTCCACCGGTGTACCCATCACCATACTAACACTGTCAAGTAACTCATCGTACGACATCTGCAGGTAATCCTTCTCGCTGCACGTCGACGGCGTAGTCCGCTTAGACGAGCTGGCCGACCTTCGCCGTGGCTGCGATCCAGCGTTCATGGGCACGGCTGTGATGGTGGTCTCCGACTCGCGCAGTCCAGGACGCCGTACGCGGATCGAGTGCCGGTACACGTCGCGCGAGAACGCCGGAGGATTGATATCGTCACTCGGGTGCTGCTCCTCGGCTACTGCCGTCATATCACGTGACAGGGCCATGCCAGCGACGGAAGCAGTTGGCTGCATGGTCGGCTGCTCCTTTGCAATGATTGTGCTGCTCGATCCGGTCTCGCTGACTTTCCGGCCCAGATTATCATCTCGTCTTCTCCCCAGCTCGCCCCCGCCGTCAATCTCTGACGCGATGGTGCGTCGTTCATCGTCAGGGGTCACCAGAAGATCCCGGTGTACGTTGAAAACGTCCACCAGAGACACCGTTCGACTAGGCTTCTTCTCCTGGCCCACGGCGGTGCTGGCAGTGTCCTGCGCCAGGGCATTAGCCCGCGCCGACAGCGCGTATTCCGTGAACGCTCGGTGGAAGACTCGCGAGATCACGCTGACGATCGTGTGCGACTGGTTGGCAAGGCGACAGCGCATTACGTGACATGATCGCACTGTTGCCCTGGTGTCCTCGACCACTGTTATTGTATCATGACGGGCATCGACCTGCACTATTGCCAGCAGTGGAAGGCGGTGAACGACCTGGTTGAAATCGTAGGAGTCGAAGATCGTCAACCGCTCCTCGTTTATGACCAGAATCACCTGGCGATACGGAGGCTTGCGCTGCGCGTATTGTCTCTCCAAAGCTCCTATGGTGGAGTCATCCGTTGGAAGGTAGCCCAGTCGGAATGGTATCTCCGTGTCACAGCCGATGTAATCGACTGCGAACGCCAAAGTGCCCCGTGACTGGAGGTTGGCCGTGAATCCCGTTCCCGGCCGCGGGGCGCTGCGCCCGCCGTTGACGTCATGGGATGAGGGTTGCTGAACGGTGTGACGGCGGTCCAGGCGCACCTTTTCTTTGGATGGTGATACTGATAGTTGATTGCTGGCTGCGGTAGACACGGGTTGAGCTGGTCGCGTTGAGGTTACCGAGAGCGACTTGGTGAGTGGCTTAGCCGACCTGGGCGAGCTTGCAGAGCGTCTCGCAGGACGGCGTTGCCCATGAGGCTTGGCGTTGATATTCACGGTGTTGTTACGTTCCGTGTGGCTCCAAGGGACTGATCCCGATCTCTGACGGTGCCCCGTGTGTTGCAGCTGTAACTGCGTCGTGCTCGTATCGTGAGTCCTTGGACTACCGTCTCCGCTGCTATTTTGACGGTCTACTGAAGTGACATTAGCTTTCTTATGCTCTTCGCATCCATCTCGCGAGTAGCGCACCCGCCTTGAGCGACCTTCACCACACTCAGCGTCTTCATTGCTATCCTCGCTACCGTTTACACCTACGTTTTCACACGCTCTCCTCTTCGAGCCTTGTCGACGACACGTCCCGCATGTCGATCCCATCTCTGGAAGTCACGTAGAGCTACGCTGTACATTCTACGGGAATACTACCTCCGATGTATAACACTCTGTCGTGTGTCAAACCAAGCCATTAGTTTCCTAGTCAGCCTACCACACTTCTTAGGTCTTGTGTCCGCTGACATGACTGTGTCCCAACATCATTGACCTCCAATCCAATCCAAGGCAAGGGATTGAACCATGCTGGCATAGTCACAAAGGTGCAGAGCTATCTACCGGCTTAGGCTGCTAGTGAGTGCGCAGCGCGCAACAATCCACACTGGCTAGCGTAACCGTAGCGTCTGGCGCGTTGAGAGTAAATCAGGTTTCGGCGTTCAGTGCTGAGCTGAACATGTGTTTGTCGCGGTAGGATGCACAAAGCAGAGCTAGAGGGAGGCACACTAAAGTTAGTTATGACCTCTGATGTAGTGCAGCGAGTGCTTGCTTGATCCTAGCAGGATGGCAGCCAGCAGAGGCGTTCGACAGACTACAGTGTGCGCATCGTTGATCTGCTTCCGTCCTGCCACGGCTCATCTTGGATTACTACTACTAAGTACTAGCGACATGGACACGCAGCACTATCGTCTATACGTTGTGCAGAGGTACAATGGCAGGAAATCCGTTTGGATCAATAGCAATATACGTGCTTACTCTTCAGCTCTTGATAACCATTATTTTAGTATTACTTCAATAGATGGAACAACGTCGTTACCCACCTAAGACGGAGTCCACGTGTCGGTCTCTACACTACGAGATCCCCCCCCCCCCCCCCCGATTTAAATGCTAAATACGAATACTACATTCAGTGGCGTTAACAAAATGCTCACCGTGGACTGTTTGAAGCTCATTCGGTCATCTCCGGCTATCTACTACTACTATCACAACCCGAACTCGAGCATATTGCGCTCCACATAGAGAGCCAAAGAATTGGGTGGAAAACTCCTGATTGGACGAGCCAGCATCATATTCTATGCATACGAAACGCTAGGAATGTCTTCAGCGTTTGTCCGCCCAAGACATACTCGTACATGTAATACAGTCGTCCCTCTCTAATCCGGCACTTTATAAACCAGCACCCTCTATAAACCAGCACAATTTTCAGTAGCCAAATGTTCTCTTCATGCACATTGCAGCAGTAGATCAGATTTGTTAATCCAGCACCCTCCCTAATCCAGCAGATTTCCGTGGCACAAATGGTGCCGGATTATAGAGGGACCACTGTACATGATCTGAAGGTCGCTCCCATTGCACATGTCGAAGTACATGTATACAAACTCCATCAGCCTTGACATCGCATAGCAGATAATTGTGGTCTGTGGTATGATAACGGTCAGCTTTGGCCAGAAGGCACAATACACAAAGCCTAATAATGCTAGGAGCAAGCCAAATACATCGGAGCTATCTGGCCGAGATAGGAAGACATCATTCTATCTACAGTGTTGGAATCCTCTTGACAGAGCACGTGGCCTTATTCGTACGCACAAATTCATAATCAATTGGAAAAAAACCGCATGCATGGCGGAATATTATCCACACGGAATAGATCAATGTGATTGTCAGCGTTGGAAACCATACTGGTCGTCTACTGCCTCATTGAAGTATTCGCAGTCTTTCACAGCGAGGCAAGGTAGTGTCCGTACAGCAGTTCGGAGGTGCATGATTATATGGAACGCGACATGAATCATATCAGTTAAACTTCCCCCCAATACTGGCCAGATGTAATCAGGAATTGTGAGCTCAAAACAAACAAAATTTAATTATAGTAAGACATAGTTGTTATTCAGGTGTGCTGCAGTGCATTGTTTAGGCATGATTCGATGTCACGTGTTCATGATGCGACGCATACACATGGTCAATACAGCTGGTAGCCCGGCTTCTCTTGGTAGATTGTCGACAGTAGAATGGCGGACACAATTCCCAACATCTGAAGAGAGGACAAAGGGCGAAGAACAAGATCATTGCTTGATTATGGTCCTCAACTTGTGATTCTGTACCACAGGAACACCTGTGCTTGGTACATGTGATTATTTCTAACACGTTTGAAATATGGTGGTAAAGACACACCTTCTTCAACTTCATTCTCACGTTTGAAATAGTGTAGGTAGTCTTTCGATAGCCGAGATTAATATAGTACGATGGAAAGTGCTACAAAACTGAAATAGGGAAGATGAGAAGGAAGGTTCAGTCGAAGCAAAACAGTTTGAGGTTTCCATGCACATTGGTGTTGGTTGGTTGGTTTATTATAATTCGCACAATAAACGGGAACTAGGCCCACGTACTCGTGCTATGTTACTCACACAACGAGAACATCCACTCCATCGTTTAAGGCGAAATTGTATGCATATTGAACGCCAGTTATCGCGCCCGTTCTACTTCCACTACAATTATGCGCTGATATGGTATACAGAGCTTACCTCGAGGACGGCGGCAGCTACGGCGAGACTTGCAGCAGTTGTCAACATACCCCTTTCCTTCTTGGCGAGAATTGTGTGGCAGCCCTGAAAATGGTGAAACATGAAACATACGAGATCAAACATCTAAGAAACATGAAAATGTCACCAACCGTGTAGGTCTCCTGCATCCCCAACTCGTCACGACCACTTTCGAGCAGGGCTGCAATATTTAATTGAACAGTGTAGGTGTATGATTTGCTGCGTTGGGTTGGAAGGTCAGCGCGTATTACTGGTGTAGGGATAAAAGACGTATGATGCTCTCACATAACGATGCATGTACATGTACATATGACGTATTCTCGATGACGTATTCACTAGTTCAGGGAATGGAAAGGGAATAATTCCGATAATTCACTGTCACTTGTCACACATCATGGAAACTAGACATCACTCACTGCATCGTGAATACTACAATGTACATGTACTTCAAAGTATAACAATAGCACTCCTATCCATCGTAATCCAGCTCATAACATACAATACACGTGTGCTGTTGTTGTTGTAATTGTTTGTTTGTATTTAACATCACAAACCAAACGGGCAGACTTGCCCAATATTATGATGGTGATGGAAAGGTACAGCAATGCAATGTGGCAAATATCAGCCGGAAAGACGGCTACGCGGTTCTATACCGCTAAGCAGATCAGGGGAAAATATTAGAACTAGGAGAAAGAAAAGTAAGTAAGTAAGTTGACTAACCAGTCAGCCATAATAGAAGGCTTTGAGGCAGCGCTTAAACTGAGCATTATTTGCGGCAGATTGAAACTCGTGGGGCAAGGGATTCCATAGCTTTTCAAGTACAACTAAAATCAAACCTGTAAATATTGTTCTATACTGTGACAAAGAGACTGTTCTACATTGTTTTGTTTGATTACCCTTTTGCTCTGTTTTATGGTTACGGAGACTGCTGTGGTTCGGCCATGTAGTGAGGGAAGGCGCAGAATCGTCCTCTTTCCAAGCCCTCCAAATGTCAATCAACACAACAGACATACGACGACCCCGCGGACGACCACGTCTGAGATGGATCGACGTCGTCAAGAAAGACTTACAATGCATTGATCTCTCGCTTCTGGATGCTGCGCAATCTGCTTCTGATAGAGCTGCTTGGCTCGAAATTGTCAACAGATGCGTTGACCTCATGCAATGAGTGATATGCGAACTGTCATTATTATTACTATTATTATTGCTCTGGTTTATACAGCGGCTAATATTCGCTGCGTGTGATTGAAATCACGTGTTTCACTATGACCAGATCTAAGCATATTAGATACAAGTACATGTATACACATAATTATTATTATCCTTTATCAGCAACGTGTATGTTTCGTACCGTTCTGTAGAGCAGCTTGTGCGTATCGGTGCACAGTTCCTCATTGACAATTGGGCAGCAGCTGTTGGGTACGTACTTTCCATGTGCTGGACGATGAGTGAAGCGTATATCCCAGTCACTGAATCCGTCTACTCCACAGCAATTGTGCTATAATGATCGCGGGGGGGGGGGGCATGAGAGAGTGGGATACAGACAAAGAAATATGGATCACATAACATATCTGTTGCTACATGTACACATGTTGCTCTGATTAAATTGCTTTCTCCACGCCAACTTTTCACGTATTAATTTTTGATGCCAAGCGATAATTCTGTATACCTTGACGTCGAATAAGAACGGGCGGCGTTTCTTACTATTAGGGTTTGAGGCATTTTTGCGAAATGCTCAATATAAATACTTCCAAGGTAAAGAAACTGGGTCCTCTGTGGCCGGGTAGGATTTTCAAAATGATTCCAATGGCAGTGCAGCACGCATCATACCTTCCTTTGTGCAGTGTCCCATGCGGAGCGGAAGCGATCGATCTCGTGGTGGCCCAGTGTGTACAACATAGAACGGTGCACCTTATCTCCCACCTGCAAAGCAGACAACACAGTACACACTCGACGTCATGCATAGTACAACAGTAGAACATGCATAGGAGTTTCTTCCCCCATTATCACATCATTGTATACAGTCATGTATGTTCATAGCTACAGACAGATAGCAGTAGCTGCAGCAGCAGTTTTCAATGCAGTGGGCGCAGAGCCTTTACACATAATGATAGAAGTGGACTACAGGTAGTGTCCTTAGGATTGCCATACATGGACACGAGAATTTGAGTATTATCCAATCCCTAGTACATGTACTAATTATTTCTAGTCTTCTACATGTACCGGTACATGTATGTGTGAATTCAATCATAATAACTATTATGAAGGTGTACTATGGACATAAGTAGGACTGACCGAGCTGGCTTCAACGAATCCGACCACTGCGATAACGATTTGCAAGGCTGTGAGCAGACTGAGAGCTGCTCCGAGCTACAGGAGAGCAAAACCACAACAATTATGCCTGCTTATCCATCATTAAAATAAATAGGATGTGAAGTACAGCGACAGCAGAAGCATTTTTCGTTACTACTACTACTACTACCGGTAGTTCCATTTGCATCTTTTTGTCTGTCACGTCAAAGTCCAGTAGGAACACAGGACAACGTGAAGATAGATTAGTGCATGGATATTGGCTAGCCATGGTGGAGAAAGGGAAGTAACATGTTAACGTCATCGAGACAGATATCGCACACAAAATGAAGAGACCGAAAAGAAAGAAACCTATCATAACTTCAGAATTTCACGGCTGTGTCGATCTCGTAATGTTACTTTCTCCTTGCTCTCTTTTCTGCCATGGTTGCCTATCACAATTCTGCCTTTTAGGTCTTTTCTTAGGCGGCATGGTGATAACTACATGTAGATTGAAAAATCTTCAAAGTCTTGCTGTGTGCTGTTGTCTCAGACCAAGAAGGAACAGACAAACGCGTCTTGTAGCCAGTATGTACGTGTACATGTATGTACGTGTATGTACGTGTATGTACGTACACGTGACTACGAGTACATGTACAGTGTACGGTACTTCGAAGTCCATTTTAATATGTACATGTACCGGCATACTTACCACACAGAGCCACGGCCAGGACACGTTCCTCGCACCGACGAATCCCAGCACAGCGGAGAGCAGCAGCAGCGATCCGGCCACAATAAGACTGGCGCCCGGTGTCGCTCTGTTCAGGTACATAATCTCCGCTTCCGGCGATGATCTATAACTCTGTGGACAGTACAAGAACAATACAGTTCTGTTGTGTTGACTCATAATCGTATTGGCCTTTTAGCGCGAAACTCAGACTCATTTCTATAGGAAGCGTGAGTTCCATATTCATAGCAATCTGCTTCACCAATTATTATTATTATTATTATTATTACACAAAGGCACACAATGAAAACCTTGGCAAATTTATTCCGTTGTGACTCCGAGTTTCATGGCTGAACCAATCATCAGACATCAGACAACGACCAACGACCACTTAGATATACCAGCGCTGCCTCCTATTCCATTATCGTTGTCTGATGATTGGTTCAGCCATGAAACTCGGAGTCACAACGGAATAAATTTGCCAAGGTTTTCATTGTGTGCCTTTGTGTACGCCGCTCTGCCTGAATCAGGCATTGAGCACTCTTGCAGAACCAAAGCATATTGCCTCTGTGTATTATTATTATTATTATTATTATTATTGCCAATGTCGCTCCTTCTAAGGAAGTAAGCTGTTAGCTTTCCAGCTTCTGTGGCTAGCACCTCCCGAACCCAGTCTATGCCGTTTACAGTGTGCAGTGAGAAGGAGGGAAGTTGAACTGAAAGGTGGCTACCGCACTATGCATGTGTTGCTCGATGATGTGAACCGGTTCAGAGCTAAGACATGGGTTTGTCCCTCTCTTTGCACATGTACAATGTACAAGACGTATTGAGTCCGGCGGTGCTGCTGCAAGATCCAGGACCAAGGTTATCCTGCAAAGGACACTGTCTAACGAAGTCTCTCGCTCGCTCTCTCTTCAACTACATTGCAGGACCTCTCTATACTAATGTTTATACGCATACTAGTATGGTTTGCTGATGAATACTGGAATAGCTGGAGTATACACGCCTTTGATATCAGAAGCATCTGATCGAGCGGTCCTGCATTCCTCGTGCAGGTATGCATGTACGTGTGCTTACCAGAAATGAAGCTCCTGTTGTGATCTGTGCCATTCCAACAATCTATAAAGACATAGTGCGTGAGTGTGTAGGTACATGATGTGAGAAACAAGACAGACAAATACTTATTGATTCATGGACACACAGTCAGAGAGGGAGAGGCATGGGGAGAGAGGACGAGAGACAAAGACAGACAGACAGACAGACAGACAGTGAGTGTGTGTGTGAGTGTGTGTGTGTGTGTGTGTGTGTGTGTGTGTGTGTGTGTGTGTGTGTGTGTGTGTGTGTGTGTGTGTGTGTGAGAGAGAGAGAGAGAGAGAGAGAGAGAGAGAATGAGAGAGAGAGAGAGAGAGAGAGAGAGAGAGAGAGAGAGAGAGAGAGAGAGAGAGAGAGAGAGAGAGAGAGAGAGAGAGAGAGAGAGAGAGAGAGAGAGAGAGAGAGAGAGAGAGAGAGAGAGAGCATGCCGTCATGAGACGTTTCACTTTCCAACAGTCTAGGAATAATTGAATGGGCAAATCCTATGGCGGCACTTCCGAATCCTCTCCTGTGCCTTTGCGTGTGAATAATGTTGAAGTTCTTCATGTGATATCTTGGCCCTAGCCAAACTCATCACTACTAATCCGCCACATGTCCACAGATCAAAGCGGATTTTGGCAACACCCATTGACCATTGAAGTACTTGAAGTAGCTACATGTACAAGACTTAGTGGTGCTACTCGAGGCATCTTACGTATACTAGCAAGTTTGGGCCCATTTTAACGAAACGATCCTCACAGATACAGATTGCAGGCAAATGTGCTTGGCGTCAAGCTCTTGGATAGATGTGCTCTGAGCTTGAGTAGTGGTCTTACCGTAAAACCGAATACCAGACAGTACAGCAAGCCCCTCAGGAACGACACTTTCATGTAGGGCTGCATCCTGAAGGGTCGTCCGCCACAGCGTGCAGTCCCCTACACCGGCTAACCTCCCAAGTCTAGCAAATGGCGACCGCCTATCGCAAAAGCAATCAATCGCCTTCGATCTTAGCCAAGAAATAACACCGCTGTTGTTGTATTGTTCGCCTAAGCACAAGCTCTCGCTCTCCCTAACACGATGGGCTGGAGCATATTCAAGAAGAACAAAGCAAGCGAGACTGAACTAGATCGAAACTTACGTGTTGACGACTGTACCGACTTCGACATGTACATGTATATCGTTGTCTCCGGGGCCGGAAACAGGCCCAAGACAACGGACACCAGCCATTAGCAGCAACACGTTGAATCTCAAGTAAACTACAGCTATTTTGACATTGTTATGCATGATCAGATATGGGTTCATGACTCTAGCCGGATCTCGTGCCTTCTTGCGCTATCTGGCGGAAACTGAGTTACAGAGATGAGCTCATCACACCGAAAAGGCTTATTTGCCAAACCACACAACAGGAGAAGGCTAATGCTGACGAATATGGATGCTGCTGATTAATCTGAGAGACTGAAAAGGGAAAAGTCCGAAGAAACTGTTGCCTGCCACCACAATGAATGCTTATATTTATAATCAATCTACTTGTCAGATTTACTTTTATACTTGTGAGATTTGATACTGACGAATATTAATACGGATACAGCTGTACATGTACATGTATATTCGTCCGTTACAAGCCCTGCAGCTGACATGTTGTTGCGTTGTTTGACTATCTGCAGTTGTAACGTGAAGGGCAAGTACCGGGTGGTAGGATGCTCTATGCTATTCCCGCGTTATCCGTCTCCGCCTACTGTGTAGAATTAGCCAGGAAAGTACATACAGTCAACTTCGCTAATAACGACTGCGGATATAACGACTGCGGATATAACGACTGCGGATATAACGACAATTCGCGAATAGCGACAGAACTTCTATGCCCAGAGCAAAATCCCATCCCACTGCATGTAATACATAATGAGACTTCGGGTATAACGACACTTCGCGAATAAGGACACCTTTTTGATGCCCCGCCGAGTGTCGTCATAAGCGAAGTTGACTATACATGTACATTGTAGTTGGCTACGTGTAAACAATGGATAGAATCTCCGACCCTGACTGAGTCACGTACGCACTCCATTTGCTCCTTTCCATACACATGATACATGATACACTACAGGCTTACATGTAGTAACCTCTGTTAGTGTTAGTACTTGCACCTCTCAGAGTCATGTTTCTCTCACCAGGTTGGAGTTGTAAAAAAATGCCAGTAGCATTTATAAAAACCGATATTTCACGACTATCTGGTCATGCATAGGCACATCCCTATGCCTATGGATACAAACTAACAGAGTGACGCTCCATTTCCAGCGCGACAAACACCTCCTGATTGCCCTGGGTAGCAGCTTGAGTCAGAATCGCTCACCGAGTGGTGACTGCACTGCGAATAGCACAGGCTCTCAGCGTCTGTTTCTCACAATTCACTCTATAATATGTAGAGCTCCTGGAGCACACAAGGTCATAGTCATTTCATTAGCCTGCTCAAGCTCAACTGATGAGGGGCGAGTTCCCCGACACACTGCGTGGTGCTGTGTTCAGGTTTGCCGAGTGGAAGGTTCGATATGCTGAGCAGCTTCTTGTGTGCTCTGAATGGCAGTCACGAGTCAGTCAAGTGTCAAGTAATTCGGCAGGATGTGTTAGCGTTGAGAATAGCTATTAGTATTAGCTCTCGAAGAAAATTTCTAGCCACTCCATAACTGGCATAAGCGACTATGACTCCCGCTGCTACCTGGAAATCTAAAAATCTAAACTGAGGAGGGGTGCCCCGCTAGGCTGTGCATTGACCAGGGAGTGGTGCTTTCTAACAGGTTTGCCCAGTCGGACCAGTGGAAGGTTCGACATGCTGTTCGGCAGGAAGCGTGCGGTCCAGTGGAGCAACGCAACGTCGCCAATTACTACCGGCGTCGAGTCATTTGTTACTTCTAAGTTCGTCGCTGATTGTTGCCCCTCTCGCGGGCATACGACTAGTCGTTGGAGGTGGCAACGTTAAAATATCTTATGACTCTCGACGTCTATCTTCTTCCCAGATATTTCGATTGTGGAAATCCGTCAAGTTTCGAGTTAGTTACGAACGTTTTATTCCATCGACGGTATACCGTCGATATTTGACTGTGCAGGCTCCAAAGGGTTAATACTTATAGCTAAGACTCTGACTAGTCGACTCAAGCTGCTACCAGTAACCTGGAGCCTCACGAGGTGTTTGTCACGCTGCGAACGGATCGTCACTGGAAGGTTGTGCCCCTATTGATGTTTGGGTAGCTGCAGCGCCACTGTTGAACGCATGGAGCACCAAGTTAACCTACTCCGGCTCAACTGGTGCATGCAGGTGCGAATTCCCCCAAACACGGTGTATTGCGCAGGGAGTGTGCTTTCTTGCTTCCCTGCTGGCTTGCCGAGTGGAAGTTTCGACGTGCTCCTCCTGTGCTCCGGATAGCAGTCGTGAGTCAGTCGAGTGTCCAGCTCAGCAGGAAGCGTGACCATGGTGACCGCAGTCCACGGAGGAGCAAACCAACTACGTCATTGAGCAGTACATGTATTGCTCAATGAAATCCAATCGCATCCCGCAGGTACGCGCCGGGCGTTGCGCAGCCCTACACCGGCTAACACTGGGCTGTGAAATGGTGGAAGGCGCAGACTTGAGTCACGTGACTGGATTTCATCGGGCAGCACTGTACTGTACATGACGTTGTATTGCTCCGTCTCCGACTACAGTCAACTTCGCTTATAACGACACTCGGCAGGGCATCAGAAAAGTGTCCTTATTTGCGAAGTATCGTTATACCCGAAGTCTCATTTTATGTGTTACAGTTGGATGGGACTTTGCTCTGGGCATGACAATTCTGTCGTTATTCGCGAATTGTCGTTATATCCGCAGTCGTTATTAGCGAAGTTGACTGTACCGGTACCACTGAAGTCGCTTCTTCCACAATTGTAGGTTCGTATTGTAGTCCCTCGTGCGGACATGCGACTACTAGCACTAGTAGTTAATGAAGCAGCAGATGTGACAGCGTTGTGCTTTGGCTTCTGGGGAGTGGCGTCTGTACTGTCTCTTGCCACTCCATGAGCCAACTCATCCTGCTTGCAGCTACAGTAAAACCTGTCAATGCGACCACTCGGATAAGGCGACCACCAGTCCTAGAAGACCACTAAAACCAGCACCAAGGAGTGCTATTTCCAGTCAAAGGACCCTGGATAAGGAGACCACCTGGTAACAGAGACCATGTTTTGAAGGTCCCCTGAGCGGTCGTCTTAGACAGGTTTCACCGTACATGTACATGTACCTGTACCTCCTGGCCCTGGCCCTGGGCACGGGGCTTCACGAGCTGTGTGTCGCCCTGTAAACGAGCCGCGTCGTTGAAGGTACAATCATGTGGTTATTTTACATATCCCTAGTTACTACTAGCAAGAGTAGATCAACAGTTTATCTACTCTTGTTAGTAGAAATATTGCAGTTTAGCAGGACTTGAGGTATAAATGCTGGCTGTAGCACAAATTTCATTTCACTGACCGGCTAAAGCTCAACTGATGAGTGGCCGTGAATGTTGAATTCCCGGACCACTGTGTATTGAGCAGGGTGTGGTACTTTTGTTTGTGTACTTCTAAGTTTTCATCATCTCGCCGTCTATTCGTAGCAAGCTAGCAAGAGTTCATGCCGCACTCTTGGTACAAGTTGGCAGTAGCACTTTTATTGAAAACGACAGACAATAATTTGGGTCCTTGATCTACAATGTAGTATGGTGATGACTGTGGGCGGTGGGGTGTGACCATACCCTGCCATCATGCACCCTTGCCACCAGGGCTTCTCTTCGTGTATTTCTATGTATGTCACCACTAAAACCAGGCTTATGACTGTGCCGACAGCTCATCTTTAAAATCAGGCTTGTATTGAAAACAGGCTTATACGAGCCAGGCTTTTCAACAAGACATTGCAGTAATCCGAATTCAACTGTACTTCATATGAATATTAAACAAGGGTGGGTACGTTTGACGTGCACGGTTAGCGGGGAGGTGTATAAAAACCCTCGCATTACTTCCCGAGCATCAGTGAACACTGAGCGGAACACAAAATAAGATGATGATGGTTCGTTAAGCTACAGAAACATCCAACGTGGCGAAAGTGTAGATGAGAATATATTGGACAGTACAGGTCCTATCTTGATAGGTGAAATAGCCACATCTCTACTCTATCACCAGGCTCAAGTGCTGGACAGGGGAAGGGTTCGTGTTAGGATTCATGCAACAAAGTGAGCGTGGGGAGAACATGTAAAACTGGAACTAAAAAGGGGAGCTGGGGAAGTGCAACAGACAAGTGACTGTATGAACACGAGGACGGGTACATGTAATTGCAGACCGTACAGAAAGCTACGCGTGGGATGGGGTGGAGGTTAAAACATGCAGAGACAACAGACAACCTCAATGACGTCTCGCCTCGAGCACGCCCGCTATCAGATGGCCAAAACGTCCGAGTGAACAGTAGTGCGCGGCACGACAAAGTGCACTGCACTGGCTGTCGCAACTGAGCCATTCGCCGCTGGCGAATGCGATGCACTACGCTTGGTCTGAGCGGTCACCGCTGCCACAGGCTTTGTTGGCGTGCGCACAGCTGTAGCGACGTTGACAGATGAAGCTTGCCGCTGGGGCGTAGGCGATTCCGTTACCGGCGGCGAGCTGTTGAGAGACGGGTCACCCTGGCACAGGTAGAACACAACCTCGATGAGACGCTGCAGCAATTCGGCAGTGTTCGTGTCCAGGCGCTCGGATGCCGCACCACCAACTGCACCATTAGTTGTGGCAGCGCGTTCGTTCTGCGGAGTCTGCCGCTCTCCATTGGCTGACGCACTACTAGCATTAGAGCTGGCTGCATTGCAGTGAGCTAGGGTATTCAGCTGATGTAGCAAACCCTGCACCAATTCAAAACACACAATGCAATCATGAGCACAATATCAAGTGAGATCCTGAGCCTTTCCACTAGTTGCATTTATTGATACTTGTACTTGTATCTGCTAGTCCTCCCTTCTCTTCGTATTCTACTATGAAATCAAACAATACTTGAAGGCAGTACTGACCACGTCCAGTACAGAACACTTGCAGTGGTGAGACAAACACAATCATTGACAAGGTGAAAGATATCGTAGATGTCAGTGTAGGATTGATCATGGACCTGGCATCACGCATGGTCTGTATACGGCATGTGTGCCTTTGACTGACTATCTACACTTGGAGAGTCACACTTTGATTGCAAACAGAACACACAACACATCTTTTTCGGAACACAATCCACCTTGAAAGCTCTACACAAGGAATCCTGGACGCTTAGAGTCTATTGCGGTAGTGTCCACTCACCACGACGTCGCTTTTCTGTGTTTGAAGCCACGAGATGAGCTTGCGTTTCTCGCCGAACTGCGAAAGTAGCTCTTCCCGCTGGGAGCGGTACACGGAGACGTATTCCCCTGTGCACATACCAAGACAGAATGAGATAACGGAATATTAGATTGAGGTGAAATGAACACTGCAAGGCTAGCAGGCAACGCTAACCATATCAGTCACACCAATACTCCACACTATGCTGTCAGGTGTATGTCGCTAATTTCTCTTCTTGGGATACAGGGGAGTCAGACACGCTACGGTCACTACGGTCTTGACCGTACCACGTTTTGCCCCAGGAATGCATTGATTAGGGCTACAAATTAAAAAAAAATCAGGAGCCAAACCCTCGCAACAAGTAAATTGTGCCTCAGATGGCTGACTGTACCACCTTCCGATGCTCCTGACCTAGGTACTATAGAGGCAGAAAATTTCGTCGGTCAATAATTTCGTCCGGTTGAAAATTTCGTCCATGGATGATAAGAGTGTATAGAAAAGCTGGGCAAATCGACATTACCGTAGTCCTACATTTAATTTAGTCCAAAAGCTCCTTGGACGAACAAGACGAAATTAAATTCCAGACGAATATTTCTGCTCATACAGTGACCGTTCAGATGAAACGAGCGGTTGACAGTTTGCACAACCTTTTCACCGCACACTGTGAACATTGCGAGTACTGTACACGCATGCTGTTGACCTGGGTCCGCAGGAGTACACGAGCATGCACTGCCTGTGCGAGTGCTGTCATCATCCTGTACGGCTATGTGTGCACACATCATGCTTTTCATTTTATTATTATTATAAGCACTATCGCGATGTAAGCGGGGATGCCTACTTCACTTGTGCCATTCAGGATGGTGATAAAGAGAAAGACAAACAGAAAGCTCCGAATCTTGAGGAACAATGTTGTAGAGCAGAATAGCTTTTCATTGCGCCCTTTAAACTACCATGTCCACGAGGATACAATTTTCAATTTTCAATTTGAATATTTGAAAAAAACAAACTCACCTATAGTGTCAGTTTCCACCTCCAGCTGCACTAACTGGTGTTCCATTGTATGCAGAGACTGGACAAGTTCAGCTTTCTCTGCCATCACCTCTGAAAAACGAACCTGCAGTGTTTGACGATGCACAATCAGAGGTAGGAACATGAAGCTAAGAACACCAAGAAGCATAGCCCGAGTGCAGCATCAATGGTAGCCTCACGGAACAAAACAATAAGCGGCCCCATGTGCAATACCAGATCTGCTAATGTATCAGTAGTGTTTGAGTGATGCATGAGTAAGACATAAGAATGACTAGGGCAGAAGTTTTATTTTTTCGTTTGAAGTACTAGTTTACATCGCAAACCAAATGGGCATTGATGCCCAATAGTATGATGGCGATAAAATTAAAAAAACGAAGTGTGGCTCAAAAAAGAAGTTTGGGAGCAGGAGGTCCCCCGTCAACAATACCAGACAGTCCCTACACTGGCAGGGGGCTGAATAAGGTGCCGTTGCCAACTATACCATTGTGCAAGACGTTCGTTCGGTCTTTAGAACATGGGACTGGAAGTTAGAGATTGCAGAACAGCACTATCGACCGAAAGAGAATACAGGAGTGAAAGTGGTCAATGTGCGACCTTCACAGCAGTACTCCCTCACTGGGTTGCTGTTTTGTGTGGACTACTCCCTGTGTAGTGTGTACAGCAAGCAGTAAACTGACCTACAATTTATAGCTCAAACTCCACCACATATGTGTGGGCTGTTGCCTACCCTCCCAAGAAAACACTAACAGTAGCCCGCATGGGGCACGGGGGGGGGGGGGGGGGGGGGCACGTGCACCCCCCCCCCCCGGAAAATGGACCTAGGTTCAGCATGCACATAATGACCATGAATGACATGCACCAACCATCCTACACGTGTGCGGCCACCCCCCACCCCCTCACACACCCTAAAAGAGGGACCAGCTTCGCCCTGACTAAACATTTGCTCACCTGCAGAGTTTCCAGGGTAGTATTCATTTGTTGCACACCGTGCTGCAAGTGGTGACAGTTAGAGCAAGCTGCTGCGTCTGGCTGATGTCCATCACCACCACCGGTCTCCTCCAGACCGTTCACGGTCGGTTGTGACGACGACAACGCCGGGGTTTCAGTGACGGACGTACTGGAGGCCGTCGGCGTTGCCCGTGTGGATTGGCTGCTGCTGCTGGAGGCTGCGGCGGCCTGGCCGATGCGCGCCAGCTCTGCTCTCAGTCCGGCGATGTGCGTCTGGTATGCCTGGCTGTGCCGGTGGAACTCGGTGAGAATGTGATCGCGGTCCACCTGCAGCTGCTGCACGGTATGCTGGAGGGCTTGAACCTGCAGTACGCAGACAAAGCAGTCAAGGGAATACAATGCACAGTATGCTGGAGGGCTTGAACCTGAAACACGCAAGCAAAGCAGTCAAGGGAGTGCAATGTGTTTTAGAGTGTGCTGGAGGGCCTAAACCTGCAACACGCAAACAAAGCGATCCAGGGAATACAATGTAGCTGAGAAGGGAAGTAAAGTACAGTCAACTTCGCTTATAACGACACTCGGCGGGGCATCAGAAAAGTGTCGTTATTCGCGAAGTGTCGTTATATCCGAAGTCTCATTATATGTGTCACAGTTGGATGGGACTTTGCTCCGGGCATGAAAATTATGTCGTTATTCACGAATTGTCGTTATATCCGCAGTCGTTATAAGCGAAGTTGACTGTAGTCACATTCCAAGTGAACCACATTGTCAGGGCACCTTAGTTGAAAGGGAGAGCGTGGGTGATGTAGCAATTGACCAGTTTCTTGCATTTGCACCATACGTCCACATAAGATGAAACATGTAACAATAAGCGGACAGTTGCATGTCAACAACATGTTACTCGGGCAGTAGAGCAGGCACATTTTGCCTGCCTAACCGCTTGTGAGAATCGGACAGGCGAGGGCAATGTGCTGCTGGACACCTACCTGGACTGCATTGCCGTCTGCATCGGAGCCGTTCTCCGGTGATGCCGCTGGTTGTACAGCTAAGCACACAGAAACATTACACACATTACCACGTGCTCTCATAAAAATTTCTTTGGTGAAAAACTGGGTACCCGGAAATACCGTAAAATGGGTTATGTCAATAATCTTTTTGGGCAGGGCATGTCTCATACCGCAGAGCCCGTGTGTTGCATACTACTCAGCACAATAAACAGTCAGACACTGCTGCAGGATGGCGAAAACAAGCTTAGGAAATCTTCGCCTTTCGCCTTTTTCGATGGAACTCACGACTGCAAACAACCGGAATGAACCAGCAGCGGATGCAGTGCCCAACAGACTGGGTGAGCCTCACAACCATTGGCATAGATGCCGAAAGCCCCAATAGGTAGACACTCTGATCGTACTTACCTTGTTGCGAAGCAGCAGCAGCAGCAGCAGCAGCTGTGGCCGCTGCGGTCTCAGATGCCACCGCTTGCGCGTGTTGCAGGTGTTCTCTCAAGCTGGTGTTTTCACGGTTGACGGCGTCAACACCTTCGCGGGTTTGCAGCAGCTACATGAAAGCAACACACACACACACACGCACACACACATACCAGCAACAGAGGGAAACCCACAGTTAAATCCACACCACGAGCGATACAAACAGCACGAAGCCGACAGCAGCTGCCCAGAGCTGAGACTACTAGTAACACATAGTCTGCAGCTAACTGTTACATGTACATGAAGTGTTTTCTTCCTATAGCCGCACACATGCCAGTAGGCATAGCTAATTGTTTGTGATGCGACCGTAAATAAAAGTACAACAACAAGTGGCCGAAGCGGCAAGTATAAAATCGAGTAACGCTCAAATCTATTCTGATAGCAGTGGCCAAGACAGACACTAGACCGCACACACACGCCTTCAGTACCTCTTCCTGCACACGGCGCAGCTGCGACGTTTTCTCTTGCAGCTGACTTTCCAGCTCTCGCGTATCACCGCCCTGGGACTGAAAACTCTCCTTGGTTTGCTGGTGGACAGTCAGCTAAGCACAAAGCAAACATTACAGGAACACAGAGAAAGGAGAGAGGATGAGGTAGACATCATACCACCCCCTTGTTATTGTTGGCGCTCCTCCGTTTCTGCGGGTTTGTACTTTGTAGTGAAAAAGTTCAGAGTGTTAGGCTCTCGATTCCGTATATGCACGCACTCACACACTAATGACCTCTCTCCCATACATGCACGTACACACACTCACACACGAATCGAGAGCAAGGAAAAGAGCAAAGGTGCCGGCTGCACAGCTCTACCGCGCTACCTCCATCAGTTCAGAGGAATTGCAACGGTGACTTGCTTGCAGCTACATGCCGAAGCATTACACAAGAAAACAGTCGACAGGCTACGAGGAAGAAGAATACACACAGCCAGTGCAGTGGCCAGTAGCTACACACTAAGGTGGTGATAGGTGACTCTTATTGCCCTCACCAAATTAGAGTATTCCTTGTGGAGGTCTTGCAGTTGCCGTCGCAGACTATCCTTCTCCTGGCCGGCTCTACACCGGGAAAACACACACACACACACACACACACACACACACACACACACACACACACACACACACACATGCACATACAAACACACACACACACACACACACACACAACTATTCAGAACATAGCGCATGATATAAACTCTTACAGAATTGTCCAGGAACACAGGGAGAGAACTGGCGTGTAATTACTGATCATCATACTCCATTCAGAGAGCGGAGGGAACAAACCAAGGTGCTCCAGATGAAAATGCAGGTATTGCCCAGCTTACTATCCTAACTTACTCTTGCAGCCGTTCCCTTTCCTTCTCGAGTTCCTGGCGGACATTGCGTAAGGACACCGATGCTTGACTGCCTGTTTGCGTCAGTTGGTTTTCAAGATTGTTGATGCGATCTCCCTGCTTGATCACCTGCCTGTGGAGCAGCAAAGGCAATACGCAAAGGAACAGAAAGAACAAGAGGTGTGAAATCAGTTACATGTACATCGTAAAGAACACAAGTAGATAAAGCTCTCCGTGGAAGGCAACTTTGCAAACAAATGGGAGAAATACACGCTTAAATACTGTAAAAGCAGGAATTTTCGGAGGTCTTTTATTATTGGAAACTTCGGTGCCGGAATTTTTACCGAAAATGTCGGTACAATACTAGTACACTTACCTGGAAAACGGGTTTACTGACAATTTTCCCCCACCAAACCGCCGATTTTGGAGAATACCGAAAATATCACACCACCGAAAATTTCTGCTTTTACCGTATGGTGAACCAGTGTTCATGCCCGTGTTTGACACCACACAGAATCAACCTTTTATAGCAAGCAGTTCTCGTTCATAACGAACCGTATCTTGTAGAGTAGAACCCGGGTTAGGGATCCACCTAACTCTGCGCGGACATGGCTGGACTCGGTCGTACAGGGATGGGCAAAAAGGTGTGCAAAACGACTTTTTGTGAGTAGATGGACCCCGGAAAAATAGTTTGGAGCGAAAAAAATTACGGCTTCCTCGGAAACCGACGGGGGTTGGGCCGGAAATTAAATCCTGGTATAAGGATCACCCGCACAATGTACATGCCAAGTGACCCCCCCCCCCCCCCCCCCCCGGGCTCCGATCCCTAATCCGGTGTGACCCTTAACCCGGGTTCTACTCTAGGGCCAAATGTGAACAGTGTGCTCATACTGTCATGGGCGACATGTCAGGCATGACGTGTTGCTTGCGTGAATGCACTTCTGTTGTAAAGAACGTCGGCTATAACGAACAAATTCTCTTGCACAATGGTGGTGTCCGTCACATCAGGAGTCGACTGTAGTAATAGATATCCAGCAAGGTGAGAGACTAGGAAGAAATTGATAGGGCTGGGTGTACTGTTCACCATACTACAAGACTTACTGGTGAATGTTTCGATTCTTCTCCATCTAAGTAGAAGATGACAAAAAACAGAGAGATGGAAGATTAAACACAAGCATTTGCAGATACATGTATAACCATTGATCTTTTCCCCACTACGTGCAACTTCCCAACTGGTTTTACAGCAATGGACTGGATCAAGGCTGTCCGGTGCAGTACTGTGCACAGCACGGCAACCAAGGGAGAACGGTCAGAGTTGCTGTACTGGACGGTGCACGGTTACACCCTAAACTGGTACAATATATCTGTTGCTAACAGCAGCGCATGCATGCATCAGCTCAGCACGTTACTTTGGCGTATACTGGAGCCGTTTCAAGATATAAAACGGGGCGGGGATAGCAATGCGAGAGGGAGCGCATCAGCGGTACTTAATGGCACTGACAGTTCGACTGTAAAGCCACATACCTCGCTGTCCAGGTTCATCTGCAGGGAGCGCTTCTCCTCCGTCAGGCGACTGGTCAACTGCTGTACGCGCTTCTCATTGGCCGTGACTTTCTCCGCTTCTGAACCCTGAAGTTCAACTAGGACACGGCATGCGAAGAACAAAAGAATTAATGGTCCTACTGCCCTCAGCCAATGCCAATAAGAACGTTCACAGAGAAGCGAAACGATGTTTGGTTCAAGGGCATTGACACAGACAAACAACACAAGCAGTTAATGTGAGCATAAAGAGGTGTTTCTCACGCAAACAAGTTCAAAAAACCTGTCCAGCATTCCAAACCTGGATATCCACGGTTTACACTATACAGGCAAATATATAAGAGACGTCCCTCTCTGTATGGGGTCAAGGGCTGCAGGATTTGGGTGTAGAAAGTGTGACACTGGCCGGATTGCCATAGTCAGCACTGTAGCTTACGGAAGGCAAAAGTTAAACTCTACCTCAACCACAGTTGCAAACGGCAAGGAAAAGTAAATGTAGTCTAAAATTATTTCCGACTGTAAGCGGTAGGAGGTGTTAGAGACCTTGTGTTTCAATGAGGTGGACATAGTGCGAGCAATGCTCATCTCCTCTCCCCCATTGCCTCTCCCTTCCTAACCGACTTCAGGTACCCAATCCCAGATTGGCCTCCTAGGGGTGGAAGTGATATTCGCAAGAAGTTATATTTCTCGCCGGCCGAGCGAAGCTAGTGAGGCGAGAAATGATTTCTCGCGCAACAAAATTATTTCTCTTGCGAATATGGAATCTGATGTTTTCTCTTTTTGTTGCTGTTCTTTTTGCCTGACTTCTTCAATCAGTTGTTTGTGTCTCACCAGTGAGGACCGGTTTTTTCCAGTTAGTAGATTTGACATCGAAAGCCACTGCTTCAGGATGCCTCGCACCAGAAGTTCGCCCTCGTCTGTGCCCCTGACATCCCTGCCACGATCGTCTCCGTCGACACGAATTTCGTCATCGTCGGCCCGTTCCTCGTCTCTCTCAGTCTCAGCTCGTGTACCATCTTTGTCGGCGGCATCATCGCGACAACCTGCGTCCAGTGCCGACAGCCCCCCTGCGTGGGCCCAGAACCTGACGCGTCTGGTGGAGAACCAACAGGTTCAACTACAGGGCACGCAGGATGAGATCCGAGAGCTGAGGGCAGAGTCCGCCACAGCTCCTGAGGTCAGAAAGTCGAAACCCTCGTTCGTCTCCAAGGGCTGCGAACAGCAGTTCGAGCTGAACAACGAGGTGATGGCGACGGTGGAGAGGGCAACGCGACAGGTCGGCGCAGAACGCCACCAGGACGCCGATGACTCTCTCCAGCACGGTACGCAGATTCTCACTAAGAGAAATAAACTGCTGAGAATAGCTGATAAAAAGGGATGGGACACTGTGGCCGAATCCATCGGCGATGATTTTGCCGACGACGATGCCAGGAAAATCCGTAGGGCCGAACTGGAGGCCACGAAGAAGAGAAAGGATCAAGGGTCCTGCCGTTCTCCTCCACCCAGATACACCCCATACCCCCAACGGGGCGACGCCAGAGGGTTCGCCAGGTCGAATACATTTCGCGGGGGGAGTGACCACCCACTCCATGCCCCCGCTTCTAGCAGCAGCGACCACTGCAGAATCTGTGGCCGCAGGGGCCATTGGGCGAGAGACTGTCGCCAGCCACCCCATACTGGACCAACGGACCGACCCCGCCGCCAGTAGCCAACCAGATAAGTTGCCCGTGGTTGCATGCTCTTTTTTGTCCAATGAATTTAATTCTCGTACATGTATGTCTGATCCATCCGAGCTCTGTGGAAGACTAAGGCGAAATATCTCGTTTTGGGATTCCATAGGAGTCTCATCTTTCGCACACTCTGTAATTCTTAATGCGTATTATCTCCCCCTTTCATCCCTCCCACCAACTACTTCGTTCCGTAACCATAGTAGCGCCGTAAAGCATACTGAATTTGTTTGTAATGCCATTGAGGATTTAATCGCAAAAGGCAGCGTATCCAGAGTCGACGCCTCTTTCGTCCACTTATGTAGCCCGTTGGGCGTAGTCGCACAACCCAACAAGCTGCGCCTCATATTAGATCTGAGATTTCGGCTCGTACCTAAATCGAAAACTAGCCCTTTGAGCATCCTTCTGCGCAGGTTTGGAGTAGAAATATGATGAAATATTATTACTTTTTGCCCCTCGCGGGTTCGAACCTCCCCGGTAAACACTTTTTTTCTTCTTCTTCGGTAGTGGTTTGACAAAAATAGCTTTTATAATCGACTCAAAAGGTATGTTCTGGTGGCAACAGGAACATGAAACTTGGCAGACACCTTTTCATCAATCAAAGGAACATCTTTACCAAATTTAAAGGGAATCCATAGAGCAGTTTCAATTTACTTGATGGCAGTAATACGTAAATTTACCCCCAAATCGACAAATTGATAGTACTTGACAATGTATGCTTCTGGTAGCTGCAGGGGGCTATAACTTTGCAGACTCTTCCCATTACTATCTGAGTATACCTCTGCAAAATTTGAATGAAATCTATATGGCCATTATGTTTGACTGTAATGTTTTGGTCTACCGCACACGTCAAGCCAATATTGGATTCAGTAAACCGTGCTCCTAGGTACTTCACATTGATTCAATATCGAATATCTAATGTTTAGCGTATGAACCACATAGCTGGCTGTACTTCTTGAAGAAATGAAGAAAATCTTTCGGGCCAATTTCACGAAGCACCCCGCGGAGTACCGATATTTGCGTTCCGAACCGAATGAAATTGTTAGTATGGGCAGCCAATAACCTTGAAAAGAAAGCCCAGCCACCCTATTTGGCTTTGCTTGACTGCAGAAATCACCACTCAGATACCTGAAAAGAAAACTATAACATTTAGTCGGAACAATACAACAGTAGAGGCAAAATGCTGAGATGTGTTTTTGTGCAAAATGCTCCAAAATACCAGAAATTTTAAATCTGGTTTTAAATATGAAGAAGTGTTTCAATCCTTCTCATTTTTCGGGGCTGACAATATTCAGGTACAGTTGAACATCGATTATCCGACCACCTCTGGGCAGACAACTGTCAGGCGGTGTTCAGATAAGGCAAATGTTCTGGATAAGAAAAAACTGTCACTCACACACTTTCAGTGGTTATTACTAGCCGCACGACCTTTTTACTTTTTACTTTTCAAAATTTTCGTATTTTTTGAATGGCTCACTACATGCACAGTGCGTACTCTACGGCACATGCGCCCAAAAAAACTGTTACGGATAATCGAATGGTCGGATAGACGATGTGCGGATAATCGATGTTCAACTGTAGTATTAAAGTCTATTTAAAGAGCTGGGGAATTTTGAACAACATCGATCGGGCCGTTTTTATTTTCCGATTTGGGTATGAGCCACCTTAATGATCACCTCACTCTGAAAAATTCAAATATGAGGATATCAGGTCCGCAATGGCCTTATTCGAAAAAGGCGATTTCTTTTTCACGTTTGAGTCACATCTGGCTGCGGCCTACTACCCTCACTCTGTGTGCTCCTGCCTCTGTTGTCTGGGTCCATGTCGTTATGTTGGTGTACGTGGAGCGAGAAACCAACAGCCTAACGTTTGGACGTGGCTCCAACCATTTATCCTACACACCCCACACTTCCACACAACCAGAAAAGGCCGCCACTGACACCAAACAGGTGTCCCGGTAGAAATGACCATGGAACTCACCAAGCTGAAGTTGCAGCTGTGCAGTATTGGCATCCTTCTCCTCCAGCTGCTGATTCAACGCAGCAATTTCCTCGCTCAGGGACGAGACCTGCTGAGTCAGCTTCTCCTTGAAGAGATCTGCATACTGACTCGTGGAGTCGCGCTGGCTGGCCATCTGTGAGAGGAAAACGATTTGGAGAGAACAAAAGACAGCAATGTGACAGTCACAGCCAGTTCTGTGCAATGCGATAACCTGTAATACAAGCATTTTTGATGCAGAGAGATTCACCACTCTACACAACTTCAGCACAAACTGCAAGCAGAGTTTTCTCCCATTCTATGACGGTCGCCTTACCTCACCAGCTTGCGCCTCTGCAGCTGCCAGCCGTTCCTGCAGATTATTGTATGCCTGTTGTAGTTCCACACTACTAGCATTCTGAGAAGATAAGAAATGGAAAAAAATTACAGATGCAAGTATCACATGTACTGTAATGCAATGGTGAGACTTGGACTGCAGTAAGGTGCAAAAGCCATTTGCACGATGTACTGTACAGTCAACCTTGAAAATAATGACCCTCGATCAATCATGAGAGAAGTCTTGCTATTCATGAGTTGTCGCTATTCACAAGACTAACAGTATGCAGTCAAGTTGTTAGAAAAAGAAAAAAAATGAAAATTATGTCATGTGGTTACTTGGTCTGAAGATGATGTCGTTATTCGTGAGTTGGTATATCCCAGGTTGTTACTAACGAGGTTGACTGTGCATGTACATGAAAACCTGTAGAATATCGTGGAACCTAATGGGTATAGGGACACTAGTGTGTTCGCCGCTACGTGTATACCGACTAGGAAATGCATACCAGAGCACTTCAAAACATTCAATTTTGTTCAGAGCTGCGAGATACTCAGTAGTGGTGGCCAGCTTGGCCTTCGTTCTCCTTGTCCTTGATTGGGATGATTTTTGTGGGGGGGGGGATGCCTTTCCACACAGCGATGATGCAGGTGTATTAAAAACAAAGGCTGATCCATCAGATGGATAGGCCTTTCACGAAATTAGTTCCCCAACAAATGCTCAAGATCAATTGGACAATTAAAAAAAAAAAAATTGGCCAATTTTTCTGTGAGGCAGGCATCAAAAATCATGATTAGTGGCTTGTCATCTGCCGGCATTTTACTGGTCCCTGATACAAAGTACTCGGCTCCAATGATTATGAGTTGCCCAAACCAGCACAGAGTCAAGCACACACAGATGCACCTGGAAAGTGAACAGGTTTCAAAAGGGCACTGCTTACCTGAGACTCTAGTTTACCGGATAGGTCTTCCTTTTCTCTGGTGAGCGCTTCGCAGGATTGTCTGTACACAGCCACACATCCAAACAAACACAGCACAGTTGCTTGCAAAGATCCTGTTGAATACTGTAAGACAAGTACCGGGTAAATATAATGAGGAAGTAAATCTAACGTTTTAACGACTGACATTTCTTCGTTATACAGTGGTCCCTCTATAATCCGGCACCATTTGTGCCACGAAAATCTGCTGGATTAGGGAGGGTGCTGGATTAACAAATCTGATCTACTGCTGCAATGTGCATGAAGAGGACATTTGGCTACTGAAAATTGTGCCGGTTTATCGAGGGTGCTGGATTATAAAGTGCCGGATTAGAGAGGGACGACTGTAATAACTTCTGTTGAGGCTGTAATGCCAGGTATGTGTTATGTGCGGATATGCCCAGTAGTAGGTAACGAGCGGGTTCTGTGCCAGGGGGCGCCCGGGTCCCAAAAAATGGGGTATTATTGAAAAATGGGGTACTAATAGTACCCCATTTTTGCGGTGAAAATTATTCTTGGCCCGGTTTTTTTGCGGATAAAAATATGGGGGTATTATTGAAAATATGTATTGGGGTTTTATGCTCTACCCTAAACAATAAGGTAATATGGTGTCATGATTTGGAATTCCGCATGTATCATTAATTTTGATATTTAGGGTTGGGTGTTATGTCCTGCCCTACATCATAATATTGCATTCCGATATCTAAAATATTACTATTTCTAATGTCAATGTTATCTCACTTTTTCCAATATTATATTAATCAGAACTCATAGTTTTGCAGTATTTTGACTTGTAATTTCAATTTTTCGGATCATTTTCCGGAAACTTCGATGACAGGAGATGTGTTCGAAGCCTGAATCGTGACAATTGATTCATCCAGGTCATCATCGGCCTTGCGCTTCCGGCTTGCTACAGTATCACACGAGACTTCCGGCATCTTCTTATGATAACCTTCATCATCAATGTCGATCGTGCCGACACGCACAACAACACGGATTATCCTCGTCGCCATGACTGAGAGGCGGACAGATTTCGTCGTCGCTTCCGTATCCCCGTCTCTTCGAAAGATCAACGCTCATTCAGATCCTTGATCACACGGATGAACTCCTGGGCTTCGATCTGGTCAGCATTTTCAAATGTCTCTTCGACATTGTCGAGAGCACCTGCAGCCTTCATCACATTGTACATTGATCTGCGACCATCATCCCAACACCGTAACAATCTTCCTGTATCCCGGCTTGATGGGCTTCCGTAGTCTGCAACACCGTCTACAACTATCTTGGGTAGACGTTGGAGTTTGTCACCGCTCACGAGAATCATCGACGACACCCTACAAAGATATTCTGCGATCTCCATTGGAGTCATGTCTACCTGATTGCGACTCGTTATAACATGTCTTACAGTATCCCAGAATACAGCAGCATAGTCTGCGTGTGAGCCTAGCTTTCGGGATTTATTCCCTTTCTTCGTGCCTTGCAAGTTGTCAAAGTTGCAAATCATTGATTTGCTACGGTTTCCAGCTTCCAAATAATGGTTTTCTCTGAGACTTCGGATAGTTTTGTACTTGATGCGTTGTTGTGCACAGGTATAGCTTTTGAACCTCCTGTATTTATATGCACAGAATTGTTGCTCCTAAACCGTACGAAAATGAGGAAAAAAGTGGGGTACAAGTTTTTTATCTGAAAATATCCTTGGCTTACCATCTGAGTTTTAATAACAGCATGTAATGAGTTTATGACGAACAAGCCAAAATTCGAGCTTACTTCACTTTCTGCAGAGCTGCGGTAAGTTTGGAGATGTCCTGGTCTTTCTCAGCAACCACCTACCAATGAAAAAGCAAGCAAAAGACAAGAAAGTCCAACAAACACAATATTACTACTGGAAAATGGGACAAGGAACTTCTTCGGAGCGAAATACATGTATACTGTATATGGGCATGCAACTTACTGTAAATTCCACATACATTTCTGCCCGCATGTATGAACGTGCACGGGACTACACACACAACACGCTGCTCACTTGAGTGCGGCGCTACTTCATCAGGTCGGATCTCTCTGGCCAGAGTTGCACTCTTGGCTCTACACTACGTTACTGTACCTGGGTGTGCTGGTGGTGTTTGCGCTCCAGCTCACCAAACGATGTCACCAGCTCTTCGTTCTGTTTCTTGATCTGGTCAATGTGTTGTACAGCCAACGAGCAGTCACCTTCAGAGCACACAATGCCATCAGAAAGAAAACAATGAACAAGTTCATGCACAACACGTCCTTCAACAGCAATTCTCTGACACAGAAACCTGCCTCATGGACGAGTGCTGCAAATATACAGAGTGTGCCTGTGCACAGCTGTGCGTCGCCAAAGGCCAAGGGATGACAGATCACACGAATCCGCGAGCTGACAAAATACATATAACTCAGTACAGTCTACTCGCGATAAGTCGCGCAGCCTGTATTGAAGACAAAAATGCGTGACTTATCGCGAGTGCGCGACTTACACAGTGGTATACGTATAATGCCCTCCAAATTGCAAAAGTGCGCGACTTATCGCAGGTGCGTGACTTAAAAGTGCGTGACTTATCGCGAGTAGACTGTACTGACAGCACCAAACTGCTAACTCATGTCCTGCCACGGTGTCAGGTGATTGGTATTACTACTATTTATTCACCTGCAATGGTTGTAATGGTTGTCATGTTTTGGTAAGATGAGCAAAAATTACATTGGAAAGAGCTACACATCCCTGCGTCTACAAGGCACAGTACAAGCTCATAAAATAAAATAAAACTTCACGGTTCGCGTGAGACTCGGCTGAAGGCCGAATTTTCCGCATCCGTAGGAACGCCACCACCAAGCATATAGTAAACAAGTAATGGCGGGTAATGCGAAAGAAATAGTCGCTCACCTTCTTTTTCACCGACGATCAGCTCAAGCTTAGCAACTGCCTGCTCCAGTGTCGTCTTGTCATTGATCAAATTATCAATTGTCTGCTTGTGGAGCTATACAAATGTGCAGGCATAGCATACAATTATAAGAGAGAGAGAGAGAGAGAGAGAGAGAGAGAGAGAGAGAGAGAGAGAGAGAGAGAGAGAGAGAGAGAGAGAGAGAGAGAGAGAGAGAGAGAGAGAGAGAGAGAGAGAGAGAGAGAGAGAGAGAGAGAGAGAGAGAGAGAGAGAGAGAGAGAGAGAGAGAGGGCAAACGAGCAACACATTGATAAGGCAACCGTCAGTGAATTTTAGGCAGACAAACGGACAGACACGCAAAATACAAATGCACAAACACAAGCACAAGCACAACAAAGGTCCGTAAAGGCATAGTGCAACTGAATGGCAAAGTCACCTAACAAAACGGTTCTCACACGACAGAAACACATCAGAATCCTACCTTGACTTGCTCCTGCAAACTGGCAACTTGCAGTGAACTAGAAGGCCGATTCTGCACACACAGTACACAGAGTGAAAAGGCAAAGACGATTACCTCTATAGAGTAGTCAGAGTCAGGCGTTTCACTTGGCAGTCTTGCACATGTGCTACACTGGCTAATGAAAGCCGGAGTGAGCTGAGTACTGCGCTGCTTGGACACAATGTTTGCCTGCTTGCCACGTATTGCTAGTACCATTTTTTTCTGTTCCTATCAACCGCCTGTGATACATGTCAAGTCGTGGCCGACAAGGTCTGACCTGCTCTAGGAGGGCAAACAACATCTTAGCACGCTGATCGAGGCCGTTCAAAGTGAAATTTAAAACTAGTTAGAAGCACTGCCATGTATGATGTGCCGTGTAGCATGGTGAGCTCTGCCACGCTCCTGACAGTGGGTAAATTGCAATCGCCTAAGCAGCTGCGCCTTGATCCCTGGGGGTGGTGGCATTCCTGCGGATACGGAAAACTCGGCCTCTAGACGAGTCTCACGCGAACCATGAATTATTATATTAGAGTTGTTTCACATCTATCAGATGACCATGCAGGACAGCCATGTTGGTTCCAACTCCAGTGAGCCCATGCATCTATGGGTCACATGATGTCAGCCATGTTGGCTACACTGTCCACATGCCATGATCACTTTCTGCACAGCTTTGTTCACGTGACCAAGATGTGAGACCACTCTATAACAAATCGAAAAGAACACCCAGTTGCAAGGAAGAAGCCGAGATACAACACGTATATGCCATCATGTTCTTTCTGGTCACGAACCTCTGCAGTCAACGCTGGCTCTCGGTATGCACCGTGATCCACCAAGCTCTGAGACGAACGCGCCGAGATGGGCGTAGGGCGGCTGGCCACTGCAGCTGAAGCCGCCACAGGATAATGGGCATGGGCCATGTGAGTATCCTGAGCGGGACGAGGTGCAGTCTAAGCAGAACATCGATAACAAGAAAGAAAATCACAAATTTATAATAATATCCAAGGACAACCAGACGACAGTACGCAGTACAGATTTGCCAGTACGGAATAGGAATCCGATATCCCGTGGAAAGGAAACAAATTCTGTCACATGGTCCTTAGGAAATTGGTAGTTGAATCATACACATGTAGCTAGTATACGATAAACTGCAATGCAGCCAAGCCCATTGGGAATACAATCATTCCAGACTCTCAGTTGCCACCGTACTCCCTGATGCTAGGATCACGAAACCGAGTTAATATACAAACTCAGGAAATTTCTGCAAAATGGCACTGGTTAGCACGCAAAGGACCTGACAGTGCTTGACAATACAGTGGTCCCTCTATAATCCGGCACCATTTGTGCCACGAAAATCTGCTGGATTAGGGAGGGTGCTGGATTAACAAATCTGATTTACTGCTGCAATGTACATGAAGAGGACATTTTGGCTACTGAAAATTGTGCTGGTTTATCGAGGGTGCTGGATTATAAAGTGCCGGATTAAAGAGGGACGACTGTACCAGTATCAAACCCTCCTACACCCTACCGCCACAGTACAGAACAAGAAAATCAGTTCTTCATCGCAGCACCAACAGGACGACGGCCCACTGACCCACCTGATAGGGTGCTGCTGCGGCAGCAGGCGAGTAGCCACGATGGTTGCCACCGACACCATCGGTAGAACCTCTCAACGTGTTGGTCTGCACAAATACACATACAACACATACACAAACAGTGAAACACTTCAATACGGTAAAAACTGTGAAGGAGACCACTCGGATAAGGTGACCACCTGCCCCAGAAGACCACTGTAACCAGGACCAAGACATGCTATTTCCAGTCAAATGACCCTGGATAAGGAGACCACCTGGCAACAGAGACCACATTTTGAAGGTCCCTTGAGCGGTCGTCTTAGACAGGTTTCACTGTATTTTAAAGTGCCCTGAATACAACATATACTCTCTTTGGGAGGCAGTACTTATAAGTTGTTGCCAAGCACCATAACCAGACCCAATCAATGTTCGGCAAAACTAATCCATTCAAGCTCTGGACAGCAGCCAAGTACTAGTGCAGTGTTGCTCCATGAAGTCCGATCAAGCGAGCCAATGCCACGCCGGGCGCTGCGCAGCCCTCGAGCTGTGAACACCGGCATAGGTGAACTGGTCACATAACAGCAGGGCGCAAACTTGACACACACGGTCGGATCTCAGTGAGCAGCACTGTACTGTGAGACCAGATATTCTAACGTCAATTAAAGTGAACAATCTCCGGATTTGTGTGGGTTAGTGAGGTCAAATTCTAACGAATTCTGTCTCAAAACCGGCAAACGACTGTACATGTACATATCGTTTAGTACATAACGACTTCAAATGTTAACGAATTGTTTAAATTCGTTAAATCGTTAGAATTAAATGTTTCAAACTAGTGAAAATTAAATGTTCGTTAACATTACTGGTCTTACTGTACATGAAACTAAACACCAGTATGAGACAATGACCTTTAGTGACATGTACTAGTGCATCCCATACCTCTGAGATCATTCCTTGAATCTGAGCAGACTGAAGTTCAACACAAAAAGAACAAAAAAAAGCAAGCAGGCAAATAAATTATTCACAACCATTGGATAACTTCCTTGGAGACAGGAAGCCTATCAGGGAAAGAAAAACTACAAATCTCAAGCTATTCTTTACCATCATCAGCAATAAGGACTCCGAAATTCATGAACCAGTTTTCAGGCATTCTCTTCAAATGAAATACAAGCAACCAGAACCAATGAAACATAGGGATAAGTAGCATCACAAGGGTGATAACCATTACAACTAGGTGATAAATTTAGTGAAGAATTTATGCACAAGGGTTGATAACAACAAGGGAAAGAGAGCAGGAGAAGGGCACAACAATTGGCATATATTTAAAATGCACTGGAAACACTTTCAGACTTGGCAGGTGAAAAGCTGCTAAGCCCTAGATTTCCACAACATGTATAGCAATCTCTCTCTCTCTCTCTCTATGTCAAAGTAACCAAGAGCTAGAGAGTCCAAGTGAGATGGCACGGGAGTGTTTGTCCAGGGACATGAAACCGCTATCAACAGACACTCTCCAGCCCTTACCAGGTTTCTCAACGTATCAGTGGATGAGCTGTGCAACAGCAACAGAGAGAAGATAGAGTCAGAACGAAAAGCCAAACAGCAGAATCAGAATACCAGGACAAGGACAATGCGCCAGGACAGGTATAAGTCACAGTACTGCCGGGTGCCGAAGAACTGGGGGTCAGCCTCCTACTCCTAGCCCAGGCCATTCTTACTTTCATGCACTACAGTCTATGCTCAGTTGAGTCACCGTGTATACATTGGTATACTGTGCTCTGTGAAATCCTAGCCTGTTCGTTCTTCGGCACTCCGCTCTTCGGCACCAGACAGCGCTGTACATTGCCTAAGCGGCTAATAGGCAGTTCTGCTGTTTATTTTATTTATTTTATTTTGCTATGTTTTATATGCAGGCAAGTAGCACTGCCGTTGGAAGTGATCCGACTGGAGGGGGTCCGTGGGGTCTCCATCGGGAAAATTTCAAAACTAGGGTGCAAAACCCTGCATTCTAGGCACTTTTGGCATTGTGTTAAAAAGTGGTCCGGCCAAAGGCGGACCTGCCGGACCGGCTGCTACGCCTCTACCATGACCACACTAGCCCAGAGATGAGACTGTGAGTGATCAGCTGGAAAGAAGACTCCTGTCCACTAACAAGGAACAGCAAGGTTCATGTCAAACAAAGTGAGCAGCACTGACTAATGAGGACAGCAGTCCCTTTCCTGACTTGTGATAAAGCACATCACTGGAATGCAAATTGCATGATCACAACAAGTACGATGGCATATCGGACTACATAATTGATCCAATCATCTCATGAGAAGCCGTTATAGGCTATTCATACTACGCTGCAATACGCGTCACGTTTTGGAATACGACGTACTGGCAGACGTCGTTTTCATTTAGGTGCATTCACACAGGCACGTATACGCTTTTCGTACAGCTGTGTGCACGGCTTCTTTTGGACACAAACTGCCAGGAACGACAGAACGAACCTCGGTACAGGGGTCTGGATACGTCGTCTACGTTTTCGTATCAGGGGTACGATTTTCCCGCCACGTTCGATGTTGTCATGGCTATCCGGACGAAAACGTCACGTACACCACGTTTTGGGCGTAGTGTGAATGGCCCATTGGGCCTTGCCATCCAGCACAAGGAAACATGGATGCAGGGAATGGAGTATTGGGTCTTGCACGACTTCAGTGGGTGAGAGCTTTACCTGTCATCCCCACCAGTTTAAGAGATGCATGTGACGTCTTGACGAGCGGTGGTGTACCACGGGTGTACGTACGTACGTTTGTGTGTGTGTGTATGTGTGTGTGTGTGTGTGTGTGTGTGTGTGTGTGCGTGTGTGCGTGTGTGTGTGTGTGTGTGTGTGTGTGTGTGTGCGTGTGCATGTGATCGTGCATATATGCGAGGCTTACTTTGCTGCCATATTGTGATTCCCGGCCAATCGATTCGGATAGCGTCCTGCCTGTCCAGCACTGGAAACTGCGGAGTCGTACCTCAGTGAGGACGATGGATGCCCATAACCAGTGCCAACGTCAACCTGCATGTCAATGAAACATAGTCATTAGAAGGTCGCAATGCGAGTGTATACACACGTACATGCACACCATCATGAACACACGCACGCACGCACACACACACAGGCAGACAGACATATAAACAGACAGACGGACAGAAACACAAACACACACACACACACACACACACACACAAGCAGCAGGTTTTCATATGTAATTCCAATCAAGGCGTACAGGTTGAGTCAGGACAAGAATCGGCAGGACCTAGGAACTGCCACTTTTCATGTACTGAAATGGGTGCCGATTGATGCTGTCGCCAAGTTCATGATGTCCTTGTCATGCGCTTGGTTCCGTTCGGCTTTCATACCGGACTTGAACAGAATGTCGGTACAGGGACAGAAAGCAACTACAACTAGTAACAAAGTTATACCACTGGTACATGTACCACCAAGAGGGCAGAACCCACAAGAGTGTGCAACCCCAGCTATGGGGTCTGCGACGGCACAACTCCACATCACGTGACGGACCCGTACACATTATTTACACCCTGTACATGATAGATACCGGTTTGTAAGGGACCCTGCTTTGGGTAGGACTCTCTTGTGGTCGCTTTGCACTGTTTGCCAGAGAAACCATTCGAAGCATGTCACGTGATGTGAAGTTCTGCCGCCGCGGCACTGTATAGAGGTTGTGCAGGCAGTTGCACACTCTTGGGGTTGTGCACTCTTGGTACCCATGCACTGCACTTAGGGCACAATCAAATTTGACAGGGACTGGAGAGTCGTTATCATATCTTTTCCAGAATACGTCTGCTGATCACCTGGTGCGTGAACAGCGAAATCTTCCAAACATTTCAAACGAGATTTCCAGCTTAACGGTACTGGTTATGGAACCTATAGTGCGTTTCAAAAGTCCAGACCTCTGGTTTCAAAAAACCGTTAGGCCAGCATCTATACCACATAAAATCTGCGACCACTATGTGCATAACATATTCGAAATTGGGCGTCTGCTATCTAATCGCTGGGAAATCTATATGAGAAAAATTGCGAGAGCTGCCTGAGCAATATTCCGAAGAAATTTCTCAAAAAGCTCAAACCAAATTTGAATTATTCGAAAAAGTCTAGAGGTCGATACTTTTGAAACGCACTATAACAAATCAGTGTCTGAAAACTGGTACGAGCATGCAGACAGGGGTTTTGCAACGGGAGCTACAAGACAGCGGGTTCAACATTGCACACCGCAAAGACAGAGGCCAGCTACTCTGGCCACTGTACGTATCGTACTTCCGCGCATATAAACGCATGTCGTGTGCTTATAAATTTGCTGCAAAAAAACGAGTTTTAGACGTGCGATAACGGTTTGCTTGTGTCCCAATCAATGGTGTTCTTACAATGCTTAGTAGTACGGCGAGCTCCCGAGTGTGTAAGCAATAGTGCACAACCATACATACCGTAGTTCCGCACATATAAGCGCATGTGCTTACGACCGGATATAAGCGCACCCCTCGATTATAAGCGCATGTGCTTATATGTGAACACTATTGGTGAAAAGGCGGGAGCGAAATATACCACTAAGTAGTGTGATGACACCATTGTTTAGGACACAGACAAACCTGTATTGCGCATATAAGCGCATGGGCTTCTACCCGAACATGTTTACACAGCCAAAGATCTTTTTTGCAGCAAATTTTCACATATAAGCGCATGCGCTTATATGTGGGGAAGTACGGTATATACGCATATAAGTACATACGCTTAAAGCGGCTTATATTTCGGGGATGCGCTTTTTAAAGTTATGTGCGGAAGTACGGCATCCAATTCAGAAAGGATAGGTCAAGCGTGCAGCTACGCACAGCTTTCGTGTACGAAAACGTACAATGCACTGGCACTGTGTTTACACGTACTGACGAAGTACTTCCCCTCTAGCTCTGTCTCAGCATGCATTATGGCAGCATCACTTCCGAATATGCCTCAGGAAGAAAACAGGGTCAAATCCAGATCGTAGCATCACCTTAAGCTTCCAGTCAGAAATACGGAAGTAAAACGTACACAGCAGCAGCACCGATCAGTGCATCGCGATGAGGGATCAGTAAAATCAAGAGCACATTATGATTATGCACTCTCGGTAAAATTTAATTATCGTTCGAGGACAAAAGCAGTTGTAGGGTTCAACACTTCAGCGAATGTATTTGCTGTATAAGTTTACTAGAGTGGACACGTGGAAAAGCTAGTATACTATCACACGCCTAACCGGTGAAATTGGTGGCTGGACATATTCCAACCGGCTTACTGGGATGGTAAACTATTTGTAGGTGCCCCTGGCAATATCTCACAGCACAGATCTCACCTTGTGTCGTGACGTTCCATATCGATCTCCCATTGCTTAGTCCTCTCTTGCCACCACGGCCAGAGTAAAGAGGCAGGACTCAGGAATTTCTTTCAGTGGCTAAACGACACCAAGCATGGACTAGGGACGTAGCAAACAGAGTGAACGTGCCATAAACAACAAATCTTTCTCTGCTGAACATACAGTCAGTGAAGGCAAAGCAAACAAACCCCTTCTCTTTCTCTTTTCATACATTTCAAAAGTTTTTCGAATTTCGTGATGTCATGGCCTTTGAGCAGGTTACGGAAATTTGAGAGGGAAAAACGCTTGAAATAGGCTCAAATCCCTCGATTCTGACAGTATTTCGTCAGGTTACGTTAATCCCAACCAATTGTCCTTGAGGATTTTCGGTTTTGCCACGTGTCCCATCGCGATATCGATGCATCAACAAAGAAAAAGACGTCATTCAGAAGCACATGTCAAGGAACAAAAACAGTCTTGCAGTGTTGAAGCTTGATCAAGAGAAAGAAATCTGAGTGTCTACTCAACGAGAGAAGAGAAATCAAAATCTAATAGAGCATTGCACGAGGGATCCTTCAATACCAAGAAATGGAGCTGATCGTTGTTGAATGTAGCAAGAAATGCCAGTGAAGCGAAGCGCCTTATGGACATCGCTAGTGGAAATGAACGGAGTAGAATTTCTTTCGTGGGTGGCCACGGTTACCACCATTGGCGTTTTTTTGGCTGGCTGGTAAGATTACGGGTTGATTGTTGAAAATAGGTGCAGCCAGCTTTATTTGATATAGATGCAAATTATTGCAATGTCTGGAAATGTGGCATTTGCTTTTGGAACAAATCTACAATGTCTAATGAATATTCTACATTTTCAACTGAGTATCAAAAATGATGGACTGCTGAAGAATGCTCCTTGTGCTTTGAGAATCAGAGAGTAAAATTGATTTACTCTACTTCTGCAATCTCACATTGTGGCAGGTCTGAAAATTAAGAGGTGTATTCACTTCAGGCAATTCCTTTTTTTCAAACAAACTAGGCATGCGGTAGCAGAAGTCATAATATCTAGGGGGACGGCACAAGCAAGGAGAGCGTGAATGATGTGGGTCTCGCTCCTAGGCTGTCTGTTCCTGTCTCGTTCGGGCCAGGACCGACTTGTCGCGTAAGGTGTCACTGGTCCGGACTGCGTCCGGGCTATGCAGCTTACGGTCCAGCTGCAATCATGGTCGCGTGTTGCATACACCATGGGTCATGTAGAACTTCCGAATGTGGGGTAGAAAGCCACACCCGTGTCGTCTCCCTAGATGTTTCGACTCGCCAGTGCAGTGACTACTGAAAAGAGCGTGAAAGTGATGGCGTTAAACACAACTGGGTACCGGTAGTATTATGAGAAGAGAAATGAGCGGCATTTGCAGCCATTACGCTACAGGCCTGCCGGAACTGGTCCGGTTGGTCAGGTTATTACCGAACCAACTGCTTGGCCACCAAGATGTGTGTAGTACTATGGAGGGCGTATGTATCCAACATTTCGATGCCCAAAGTATGAAAGGCCACAATACTACCGGACCAATCAAAAACTGCTTTCGCCGGTCCTGTGTTACTATTTTTCACTTTGCCACTAGAATGCGCTCTTGACCGACCCACTCTATTCGTGTGTGTGTGTGTGTGTAAGCATGTGTGTGTGTAGGCATGCGTGTGTGTGTGTGCACCCGCACGCGTTTGTATTTACATGTGTATGTATTCGGTGTTTCTAGCACGTTTTCCATCCTAATTTTGGTTATTTCCACTCTGCTCTTCTTCTTTGTGTCTGCACAGGCGTATGTGCGCGCAGATACGGAGGCAGTGTAGCACGCAGAATGTTATCTATTTCCCTTTCGTAGCATGCTGGTTGAAGTAAGTTGATCCATCGTGAAAAAATGAAAATACTTTAAAACATTTTTGACGTTTTGTTCGAGAGCCAGTCAGACTGATGTCGTCATTCGGATTATCACTACCTTTGCTGGATTGCACCAACTCCGATGCTTGTGACTCGAAATATTATTCACACAAAGGCATACTCTTTCACCTCTGCTCTTCTTCCTGTTGTAAGGAGCTCTGCCCTTTTCCGGATTGGATTGTCTTCACTATCTAGGCTGCTCGAGGCCAATCAAATTACTGTATTCCAATCTGTGCTTTTTAAGAAGTCACTGCGTGGGGCAGAATCCCATGTAGCATTTTTACTGCTGTTCCTATCATTCAGATGATGGACAGTAAAATGTGTCAAGATGTAGTACACCAAATATTACCAAGTTTGAGGGAGTTTAAATGGGAAGAGTCTGGAAAAATTGACTGCCACCACGAGGACTCGAACAAGGGACACTCACTTATGGCCGGCTATGCTCTGCCACTAAGTTACGGCGTAGTCGTCGTTGTATTACACCATTCGGTGAGGTAGACAGTACCGGGTCCTGATGGTGGAACCTACAGCCACTAGAGCACTAGTACACTCATACCTCGTTTATCCGGGCAGTCCGGGACCTTGCACTGCCCGTAACTTTGAAATGTCCGTAACTCCGAATCATATACATCTTGATGGGGAAAAGGCCATCGATATGGCATATGACGTCAATATTTCTACGAAAAGTGACAAAAGAGTAGTAATATTTCCCCTGAAACTCGCCCAAATAGTGCCCGGTAGACCGAAGTGCCCGTAACTTCGGGGTCCGGATAACCGAGGTATGAGTGTATGTGTGTGTGTGTGTGGGGGGGGGGGTGCTCTACCGGACCGTCAACCCGGTGCGTAGGACAATGTTCTACCTTGCCAGTATTCTGAGGAGATGTACACTACTGCTCAATGAAATCCAGTCGAGCTTCTCAAGTACGCGCCGGGCGTTGTGGAACCCTAGACCTGCGAACGCTGGGCTGCGAAAAGGTGCACAGCGCGAACTAGACTCTCGCGACTGGATTCCATTGAGCAGCCCTGTACTTGGGTTCAAAGCCTACGGATGTCATTCCAACCAGTCCAGCCCAATCAGCAGTTTATCGGCTGGGCCGGTACTGGATAATCTCTTGTAATACTGACCTCTTTTTTCGTTCTTCTTTCCCTGTTCTTGCTGCAGTTGTGTGTTTTGGCTTAAGTATGGCATTCTCCTTGGCGACCCGGCCATGATCAGTGTTAATATCATCGGCATCATCTTCCAGTTTGCCTATATTTTCTTCTACTATTATTATGCATCCGAGGAACAGAAGGTGAGTGGAGGCACTTGTGTTAGGTCGATCGATTCAACCCGTGCGTTTGTGTGCGTGTTTATGTGGGGGGGGGGGGGGGGGGGTGCAATGTGGAGGACCAATTGTTGCTTTGTATGATTTTGATATCTAGTGCTACTATACTCTGTGGAGCGAATAGCATTTGCTTCCTGCAGAAAATAAGCATTGAAGGTGTTGGGTAGTGGGTTCTTTCACTGTCTGCATGAATACGCCACGTAAAATGTTCTTTCAAAATGGTTCCGATCCCGTCCCATTTCACGAGTAATGTTGTCGGACCTCCTGGCTACCATGCCGAAACATCACCATACAGCGGGCTTACAATAATCAGCGGGGCAGGGGACTATTTAGTCCCCGAAGCTATGCAAACGATGTTATGTTAGTAGCGTCCTACGTAGCCACGGTCCAAAGCACTTTATTTTGTATGCTTGTGTATGTGTGTGTGGGGGGGGGGGGGGTACGAACCACGTGACTAGTGTCTTTAGGCATGGCAGGCTATCCCGTACATGCCCCGTACCGTACCTAATTACCGTACTGTACACATGTACGCACTTGTACGCTCTCGTTGGTTCAGTTCGAATAACAGGCATGATGACCTAGGTAAAAACGAAGGGCCCTGAGCTTGTTCCATTTCTCAAGGAGGTACCATCCAGGAGAGTTTGTCCCAGACAAGAGCAGAAATGCAATGCATTGCCGTCTGCAACGCAGCCAAACTCTTCATCGCTGTAAGCTTGAAGCATATACATTGCTGAATGAGCAAGGTTGTAGCTATAGCTTGTTTCGAACAAAAGATCAACATCTGCGTTTGCGCCTTAGGCATTGAGTTTACACCAGTATTAGGACCTGGCTAGCTTTAGTCGGAGTCACCAGCACACACTGATACAATAGCCTTGATCTATCTGGTATCTATAGAATAGAGTAGTAATGTGATAAGATACTTGGTACATTCAGACCTCGCTTATCCGGTCCTCTTTTGTCCGGATCCCTCACCATCCAGAAGAAAACTGTTGGTTACCGATTTACAGCATATTTGATGCATACATACGGTATGTGTGTTCGATTATCCGGTTCCCTCGCCTACTGTAAATATACAAAATTTCGGCGCTGCAAAATTTCGGCACCTCACGATTTTTGACATTTCGGCGGCGATTTATTTTCGGCGTGGGGTAGAGGGCATGTACATGTATTATAGTGCGACAGATGCTGTGAAAAATTTCATCGGCGTTTTAATTTAGGCGTTTTGGGTCGGTGCCGAATATAGCCGAAATTAAATAGCTGCCGAAAATCTGTATATTTACAGTATCCGGGTATTTTTGTGGAAAACGGATGTGTGCGGTTAACCCTTTGTCCTTTCGCCCATACTTGAACCGTACACCTGTGTACGGTTCAACCCACGCATGTTCACAGCGACCTGGAAGCTACACGGATCACCCGATCCACATGAAAATTCACGTGCACACAGCCTATGCTATGTAGAGGATGATACACGGGTCGCTGGGGCTAGTTGCCATTTGAAAAATTTCAGGAAATCAAAGTCGAAGTTTGCTTGCGCCGTAACTTCCGACATGGCAGCACGCAGGTCGCTTGATGCAGATGAAGCGCTTGTTTGAGGATAGCTGGAGTGACCCAAGCGACATTCCTATGTTCTCTGATGAAGAGAACGAACTGGACGAAGCCTTAGTTGAAGGTGCTGATTCTGATTTTGATGACGACGCGGATTATGATGTCGTAACGGTCGACCCAACTGTCGGACATGTCGACCGCTCCGATTTGAGTGCAGGATCGGCAGAACAGCACTCGAGTGGTGAAGAGAGTGTACCACAGCCGTGTCTAACCCGTCGTGGAGCAGCAGGGTCAGCTAGAATGCTGCAGCACGTGGAGCGGGAGCGTAGTCCGATCCCAGAGAAGTCCAGATCTCCGTCACCTGCGCGCCGTCAAACTCATGGTCGACAGCCGCGCAGAGCGAGGAGTGTAGCCGCACGGGGCCACAATGTCGAGCATGTCGCCATTGGCGCTCCTCTGGCTAATGCTCCGTGTTTGCCCAACATGCCAGGGGTGCTACTCCAGGTCATACTTGTACAAATTGCACATTATTATACATAGGAAAGAACTTGAACTTTGAATTTTGCCGATTTTTGCCAAAAAATCATTTTTGATACTCTTGTTTAGCCACGTCTATCTGAGGAAATCAACCCAAACTGCATTTTAGTTCACAAATATCATAAGCTTTCAGGAAAACATAAAGTGTACATACAAAATATCAGCTGCTTGGGTATGGTGAGTGGATTTGTTGAAGCAGGTACCCCTCACATACATTTTGGGCAAAAGGACAAAGGGTTAAGCGAGGTCTGACTGTATCAAGAGTGTGCAGCTCCACTATGGGCACTGTCCTGGCAGAATTTCAAGTTGACGTCATTTTTATGATGTAATGTGCATTTTACACGTATCATCAGATGTATCCTGGACCTATGGTTGACCAGTCCCGATTTATAATCACCTGTGCAAGGAGCATTGCATCATAACATGAATCGCCCCAATCCCCTACCTGGTGAGCCGCCGGTGTACAGCCTATACGGGGACCCAGCCTACCCACTGCGTGCTCACCTTCTTGGCCCTCATAGAGCTGCACACCTCACGCCAGAGGAGGAGCTGTTCAACACGCAAGTGAACCGTGTTAGAATTTGTGTTGAATGGGAATTCGCCAAAATCCTACAGCAGTTCGCATTTGTCGACTCAAAAAACCTGAAACTGCTGCTACAACCTGTTGCCGTAATGTATGCCGTGAGTGCCCTGATGACTAACTGCTACAACTGCCTCTACGGGAGTCAGACAGCCACTTTCTTCTCTATGGAAGATATGGACATGAGAGCACCGCCTCTTGAAGAGTATTTGCAGTTGTGAGTCCCCTCTTCACACACATCAACACCATCCCCTTATGAACAAATTTCACTGCAAGCCCATATCTGATTTGCTGTGTTAAATTTTATTTCACAGTGGTCTTCTAAGTAGCAGCATCTGCTCCCGCTGTAGTGCAAGTTCCGCTTGCCGTGTTTCCAGTTCTTGTCTTCTTAGAGACAGCTCCTCCTTCTTCAACTCCTCGAATTCATCTAACTGTGTCTTCATCTTGTCGATTAATGCTGCACTGTCATTGGACGGCTTGCGCTTGGCACTGGGCTCTATAGCAGTAGCAGATCAGAAAAGGAAAAGTATCGTTAGGTCACTCACCGGTATACCACACTGCCGTCATATCTTATTTCTCACGAACTAGCTAATCCATCAAACAAAAGGTTTTTGTACATTTCTGCATAAAGTATATTGGAATTGGTTTGCTATGTAGATATCTTTGTGCACTTCCACATCAGCATTCACAGCGCTTGCGAATGGTGTTTGAAATTCGTCAAGGTATCCCTGGACGCTCACCTGTTGCTGTGGTTTCCTTTACCGAAGTTGCCTTGTCCTTGAGGGAATTGGTGGTGTCGGCTCTCAGCTGCAGACCAAGCTTCCTGTCTTCCTCTGCCTTTACCTCTACTGTTTTTTTTTCTTGTGGAGCGCAGTTGTGGCCCTCTGCTCCATGTCTCCTCGATAAAGCTCTAACACACCATCCAGTAGCTGGTCCTTTTGGGTGTATTCTTCTGCAGTTCCAGATCTGTTTGTACAAAGGGGACAAACCAATCAAGACACTACGTCGTAAATCTGAAATTGAAGTTCAACATTTGTTGACGTGCAAAACAAAACTTGGCTCAACTTACTGCTTTTGGGAGGTGTTGTCTCCTTTTATTCGGAGATTTACCAAGTTGAGAACGCATTCTCTAATGGTTCGGCTCTTGACGCCTTCCAGGGTCCCAGTCATGGCCTCCGCGATCTCCTCCCATGCTTGAACGGATACACATGCTGTGACACCTCCATGAGAATTGCCACATCATCGGAGACAGTAAATCGAAGCTTTTTGGGGGGAGTGGGGGGGGGGGGGGGGGGGTGACAAGGGTCACTTCAACATCAGCGATGACGGAATGCTACTACGACTGTACACAAGAGAGGACTAAAAAGAAAATTCTGCAAGAAGCTAGAAGCACAAGCACAAACTGGATTGCTGTCAACAAGAAACAAGCTGATCTTGGAACTGGAAGCTCCACGTGCCATTCCCCTCGATCCACTCTCGATCCACGCTCGATCCACGCTCGAACTTCCCGCCACATGTACTCTGTGCACTCAGTTCATGCCCAACGTCTTAGCTTTTCACACGGAGACCAGTCCATGTGAAGCCGCGCTTCACACGGAGAACAGTATGAAACATCCGTATGAAACTTGACGTCGAACCGGGACGAGGTTTCCATACGTACTTTGGTACGTTTTGCCGTGTAGCAGAAACTCTCTAATATCGGTAATTCCGTACTAACAAGAGTGTCTTATCGCTCAGTGAGTTATCAGAGTACTAACTTCTAAGTGAGTGTCACTGTATAATACGACTGTCTACGTGCCTGTGTCCATCTGTGTGTGTGTGTGTGCGTGTGTCCGTGTGTGTGTGCGTGTGTGTGTGCGTGTGTTTGTGTGTGTGTGTGTGTGTGCGTGTGCATGGTGTGTGTGTTGTGTGTTGTGTGTGTGTGTGTGTGTGCGTGAGTGTGGGTGTGCTCACTTCTGTGCATGGTGTGTGTGTGTTGTGTGTGTGCGTGTGTGTGCGTGAGTGTGGGTGTGCTCACTTCTGTGCAGGCGGAGATCGTTCGCAACTGCTTCCTGTGCTTCCTGCTGGCGTTTGCCGTCCTTGGTTACGTGCGTGCTCTGGTGGAGGACTGGGACACGGCCGTCAGTCACCTGGGTGTGGTGTGCTCGGTGTTCACCGTGCTCATGTACGGTGCACCGCTCTCGGCCGTGGTGAGTTACAATACTGGGAGTCAGCCTCCTAGCCTAGACCGTTCTTTTTTTCATGTACAGTCAACTTCGCTAATAATGACTGCGCATATAACGACAATTCGTGAATAACGACAGAATTTTCATGCCCAGAGCAAAGTGCCATCTAACTGTAATACATAATGAGACTTCGGGTAAAAGTACACTTTGCGAATTAGGACACTTTTTCTGATGCCTCGCCGAGTGTCGTTATACGCAAAATTGACTGCATTATAGTCTATGCAGAGTTGAGTCACCGTGTATGCATCCTTATGCTGCGCCTGGTGAAATTCTAGCCTGGTCGTTCTTCGACGCTCCGTTCTTCGGCGCCCGGCAGTACGAAGAACCATGGTTGCTTGATGATCAGGCGATTATCATGCAACATGCAGACGATGAACCGCCTACTAAATTGTGCAACATTCATGTGTACACGATTTTAGCAAGGACCTTGTCATGACGGAGGAGATACTTGATATTAAACGTGAAAGTTCTCTGCACTATGTACGTTGAGAAGATTTGATTCATGGAGGCACTTTTCTGGACATGCAACACGTTTTGCATGATTTTGGTCATGGCCACATTTGTTCGGTGCATCCTCTCTCTTTGTTTTGAAAATTGTTCCTGAAACTTTCCCCTTCACTCTGCTGCTGTTTGTGCAGAAACGAGTAGTCAAGACGCGCAGCACGGAATGTCTGCCGTTTCCGCTGTGTGTGGCTAACTTCCTGGCGTCTGCGGAGTGGTCTCTGTATGGCTATTTTATTGGCAGCAAGGCGGTCGAGGTAAGTTTGTTTGGCTTTTGTGCTGCATAAGCCATGGTAGTTGGTACTGTTAGTGCAGGGCCTGTGTCACCGAACATCTCTCTATTTGTGCTTGCCTCAAGCTCTGTCGCATAGGCAGGGCCTGTGTCACCGGACATCACTGTATTTGTGTTTGCCTCGAGCTCTGTCGCATAGCTCCAGTTGATCCATGATCCACCAGCCAGCTCACCACTGACTTTGCCTAGAAACTGCAACTATTATGACTGTGAATAGCAAACCCCCTCTGAAAGTCAGGCTGCATCTGCAAAAGATATATTGAGTGTCAAGGGGTTGTCGATCGCTTTTATTTTAAAACAAGTTGGTAAGCTCGTTCGACTCTGCCATCATTATCTTTATGGCGTGCGCTACTTCGGATGAACCTCACTTATCCGGCAACGTTAGATCGGGTACCAGAACGATGTGTCTGGACAAGAATTCACTTCGTCTGGATAGCTCAATGCGTACATTTTCAGCATCATGCGCTCGGCAAGTACACTAGTACCAGTTTCAAGTTACTGGAAGAAAGAAAAAGAGAGCAAGAGAGAACAGGAGAGCAAGAGAAAATAGTTTTGGTTCCCAGCCCTGGCTTCTGCGAAGTGCGAGTCCAGATAATTGATGAACCAGATAGCTGAGATCCGGATACGTGAGTTTCAACGGACAGTACTCAGTAGATATATGCCTCTTTATTCCCTCAAAACTCAACATGACTTTGTACAACTGTTGGAGACTCAACTGGTATTGGAGATGTGTGGTTGGGGGGGGGGGGGGGGGTAATGGCCGTAATGCTGTATCTCTGTACTGCTATGACTGGCTGCCACCTCTCCCAATACATTGACCTTTTATGTCCTGGCCATGGGACGGTGAAATAAAAAATAAATGTTCCGGATCCTATATGCCCATTGGGTTATGCTGTGCTGTGCATTCTGTAGATTGCCAATGGCCTTGGCGCTCTAGTTGCGGCGCTGCAGCTCGGCTTGTTTCTCGTGTACCCAAGTCGCACTCACTACGACCTGTCGACGTCTGCCCCGCCTGTATAAACAGCTGCGGCGATAGTGCCGCAGCAGTTGTACATGCTAATAATCACAGGCTGGGTTTTTCCCTTGTACAGAGGCATTTTGGATATGCTCTGGGATTGCTTGGTATGCCGGTGACGATCCTAGTATTGATTTTATTCGCCGGGATGGATTGTCTCGACATTCTGTAAGATAACTCTCGCGTCGTCGCTATTGTATACATCGGCGATCGCGTGCCTGTTGACCACTGTACATACTCCGAATAATTTTATGCTACCGCTGTATATTCTCTCGCAAAGCCGCTCTTCAGCCTTGAAATCTATTTTATTTACTCGCACTGTGCACTTTCTTTTCATGTACACTTTCTGAAATTCGAAGTTTCAATTTTCTGTTACTAGTAATGTTGTCCTGTGTCAGCTTTGTCACGTGTATGCCTGCAGAGTTGCAGGTATTTGTTTGGTGTGTGTGTGTCTACGGTACTGTGACGTACATGTACCGTACTCGCACGATTAGAGCCCTCTCTTGACTAGTGCCCTATCTGTGATGCGCATTGAAAAAATAGTGCCCCAGGGGCACTAATCGTGCGAGCACGGTAGGTCTGTTGGGCGTTATGTGCTGGCTGGCTGTGGTTGGATTCGTACTGTACTGCTGGGCAGCAATTTATGAGATCGCTCGGTTGGGGAAACAGGTCAGTCCTGAACATACAGTCATGTAACTCTTTGGCTTTGGCCTTTCCATCAGCTATCGAATGCCAGGTGCTTCTGAAAGGCGACGGCTACTTGCGGATGTGCACAAACATTACACACAAGTTATTGCGCGTGTAGGTGATCACGTATTTGCCGATTACTGTAAACCCCCCCATATTCACGTCGGCAAATTTCGCAATTCCTCAGAATGACGGCAATTGTTCGCGGAGCATTGTGGCCACACACTGACACCCTCCGTTGAAGTTTAATTTCACGCTGGTTAGTTGTCGTGTTACGCTCTTCTCGCGCAAGTAGCGAACATTGCGCACAAATGGAAGCCCCAATGTCCAAGTGAAGAAGTTGCAGAGTAGACAAACACGTGTTTGATTCGTTCTACCTGTATAGCACTCCATTGAGCCGGCCGGGGAACGCAGCAGACTTTGTGCACGTGTAGGCGTGTTTTGTTTTACGCATACTGTAGTGTGCACCATATTTATCAACCATAAGTACAGGTGCAATGGTGTCTTCAACTTCATACTGTAGTGTCTTTTATTAAAGCCTGTTTTGAATACAAGCCTGATTTTCAAGATACACTTTCGGCACATAAGCCTGGCTTTAGGATTGACAAACGTAGAATTAGCTGGTTTCGTTAGAAGCCTGATGTGAATAGAAGCCTAGCCCTGGCACCAACTTCTACAGGAATAAGCCCGGCTTTAATACGCGAAATTAGTACTGTATGTATAGGTCGCGTGCATGCTTTTTCTCCAAAGTTCCTCACACAGTCCAGTTACCAGGAGACTAGCCCTGTCCAGAGTGTACTACGGATGACTATATTATGCCACTTCTCTGCGGTTGACGTCACAGTACAGTTGAACATCGATTATCCGACCACCTCTGGGCAGACAACTGTCAGGCGGTGTTCAGATAAGGCAAATGTTCCGGATAAGAAAACACACTGTAAATACATGTACATGTACATTGTAAATAGAATAGAGTGCTACTTTTCAAAATTTTCGTATTTTTTGAATGGCTCACTACATGCACAGTGCGTACTCTACGGCACGTGCGCCCAAAAAAACTGTTACGGATAATCGAATGGTCGGATAGTCGATGTGCGGATAATCGATGTTCAACTGTATAAGAATTAGCAGAGAAGTAGTGTTCTCTGTCCACCCGGGAACGGGTACGAGGGAGCACGGTGTGGGATAAAAGGAGGTGACGAGTGCAGGGTCGGCCTCTTTTGTCTTTGTGCGGAGAGTTGAGTGAGAGTGCCCACCCCAGTAATCATCATGTAATTTCATATATATATCATCGCTTTGATTATTCTAGTGATTTGATTTTTCTAGAGTGTGCGGATGCATAATGGTCGGGTGTGGTTTTCTGGTTGTACGTAGCTGGAGTTTTTGTTAGACTAGGCAATGGTTCTGTATAGTCATGACCAGATAATTGTGTGCAAAGACAATAAGTTGGGGCGCTGTGCTGTGGTGGCCCCCACTGGCAATGTCCACGTGTTCAATAGTGGTGTACACGTATGGGTGAGTGTGCGGATGTGTGCGCAACGAGTGAGTGCAGGGTGGACAGAGAACCTACAAATTACAATGCTAATTGGTTACTACAGTCCATTCAGAAAAAGATGAGCGCTGGCTCTGGAGAGCTCCCGCATTGCATTTGGCGATTTTGTGGTACACTGTGCAGTGCCGCGAGATTCGAAACTTGAAAAAGGGTCCAAAAAGGTACCTCAACTGGGGTTCGAACCGCAAAGGTTGTAGTTATGTAAGTGGAGTGAACGGCCTGGATTTTCATGGGTTTTCTCCAATTAATGCTTTGGGGGCAAAACCTGGCCAAAATCCTATTCTTGTTATGGCTTGCTTTTTGGAGAAATAGACTTCAAAAACACAATTGGAAGAGCATTCCATGGGGGATTGCCAAAAAATTTGTGCCGAAAACTCAAAATTTGACCCGTTTATGGCCAAAAGCTAGGATATCATCTTTTTCTGAATGGACTGTATAGTAGTACCAAGAGTCCATACCCCCAGAGTGTGCAACGCCACATAAATGTCTGTCACGACTCGTTTTCAACATTACGTCATTTTCATGTAGCTGCACGTGCAGGCCGCAACATTCGCTACATGAAAATGACGTAATGTTGAAAACGAGTCGTGACAAGACCCTATCGCGCGTTGCACACTCTGGGGGTTATGGACTCTTGGTAGTACACTGAGACGCCTCTTATCCGGGCACCTTGGGACCGGGCACTGCCCGTATCTCAGATTTGCCCGTATCTCAGGATAACTCATCTACCATGTATCATATCATTTTTTTTGAATAAGTTTATTTGGCAAGTATTGCACATGTTCAGGTTACAGAAAGAATCCATTGATAAAAATGTGTGGATTTCACAGGTTGGCAGTGACAAATAAGCACTTGCGCATACGACAAAAGTTCAAACCCCCGAATTCAAAGCATTTTTGCCATAGGAACTCAAGCTGAAGGTGCCCGGTAGAGAGACGTGCCCGTATCTGAGGCGTCCGGATAAGAGGCGTTTGAGTGTACAATGTAGTTCTAGCTTCGTGGAACACATGTCCGGACGGTCGTCACCATCGGACCTGCTTTCCTTTGTGAACAATCATGACTATCATGTTGGGTCCACGGGTACAGTCAACTTTGCGTATAGCGACACTCGGCGGTGCATCAGAAAAGTGTCCTCATTCGCAAAGTGTCCTTATACCCGAAGTCTCATGTATACACTTAGATGGGACTTTGCTCTGGGCATGGGAATTCTGCCGTTATCTGGGAATTGTCATTATATCCGCAGTCGTTGTTAGCGAAGTTAGTTGACTGTATGTGAGAATTCGTGATTCATAATTATTTAAATTTTTAAATAATAATAATGTTTGTGACTCATTCATATTGTTAGTCCTCGCCCTGACTTTTCTAGGGTCATGTTGCTGCTGTTCAGGCTGGATTGCAGCACTTGTGTAGACGATGCAACCTTCAAGACTCACCTCGCTGTTTATTTCTATTGCATGATTTGCATCAGGAGGTCCCCTTGACAGACCATAGCCTCAGGGAGATCCTTTAGATAAGATTATCATTACCGGTGTATTATTATTATTATTATTATACCTTGCAGGTAATTCAGTCATTTTGCCTCCGGGAGGCCACATAGACCACCCCCAGTGACAAATCACTCACGGCGTCTTTTAAGTTTTGGAACTAATTCGCAAGCCTTGTAAACTTTGAATGCCGAGATTGATAGGCATGTCTTTCAGAGACAAACTGTGGGTGTATTCCGAAGACCACCCTAATCGGACCAATATCCGTACCGCAGATTTGTAGTTGAATAATGTGGGCAGAATGATATGCGTTTGTACTCGTTTACCGACAATACTCTATTACACTTTGAACATGTATCACCCGAATATTGAACTTCTTAATTCGAATTCTTGCACAAATTGTGTGCAACTGTCGGGAAGGAATTCGAATTAAGAAAATTGTCTGCTCCCCTGTAACGTTGGAGCTAGCGTTTCCTGACACTGTATTCCCATCTGAAGCCATGGCACGAAACCATGTCAAACCTTGCACTTTTCAAACCTGCTGGAAAGTGCACAGAAGCATTGCATGCATGCTGTACTGTTACGTTCAGGTAGATTCCTGCACATCATACACGGTCCATCATGGCGAAGATATTCAGCAAAGTTCTATATTTGCACACCACATGCACACTTCAACATTGCCAGCAGTGTCTCAGTACTACTTCTGTAGAGTCAGTAGACCAGTTCAAGAGTCCTAGAAATTTGCTGTGCTCAGCTTTAAATCGGGAATAAAGATGTACATGTCCTGTCCCGCGAAATGTATTTTTTTGTCTGGTAACGTTAGAGAATCATTTCGGCGAGGGTTGTTGTTGTTTGTTGTTGTTTTTTATTTGAATTCGCAATACCAAACGGGCAATAAGCCCAATTACATGGAAGCGAATAAAAGAATGCTATTAAAGAATGAGGCATTGGGGTGGATATAATTTCAAGTGGAAATACTGATCCCGGGAGGGACTACAAATAGGTACAATGAAAATCTGAAAAGGCCATGGGTATCAAGTTACTATCGCGTTCACAGTTGCATGTACAGTCATGTATTTCATTTCTACTGCTCTTGTCGTGTGATCCGGACATCGACTCGGAGGCAGAGTCCATGGAACACTACACATCCTCAAGTACACAATCACGTAACTCAGTGTATAACCAGGGAGTACTACGAAACGGTAGTAGATCAATGCCGCTTGCATGATTTGTAGGCTGGCTGCATCAATAATAGTGTGTTCTGCGTCGTTTGCAGGCATGCTTGGTAAAATATTATTTTTTCCTTGTTAATAATAACGACATACTTCTTGCGTAGGGATGAATAATTATCCGACCGACGATGGGAATTAACCGTATTGCGTGACTGATCCTTTCAATGTTCTAATCTTTTAAGTGACGTTTCCTTTTCTACCTGGACGCCTCCTTGTTTTCCCTTTTCTCTCTAGCTCCTCTCTTGTACTTTCTTGCTATTATTCACTTAAATGTGGGGCTTTGAATAAAACAAGTCGAAACACAAAAGTAGTAGAGTGTACTACTCTCTGCCGGTATTGGACTGCTCCCTTATTGTAATTAACCATGGCTCGATGGAGGATGTGCAAATGACTGAAATAAGTTAGTTGATGCACTCGTAATATCTCAAGCAGGAATGACATCATAATTATTGCTTACATACTACATTGAGTACAACAGTACATTGTACTGTTGATTTGACCATTCTTGACTGTTGGAACGGTGACAGCAGCTACACAACAGGTTGCCTAATTTAATCCTTGCTGTACTTATATTAAGTTATAACTCCGCTGGGCCATCAATCGGCGGTTGCAGGTGAACAAATCATGTCCGCGAGGTATAATTATTGGATCATAACTTGATTGACTGCTTTATGCATCCCCAAATCACAGGTACAAGTTTAGTGGCTGTTTTGGACGGTACTAGCGTGTGCTGGGCAGGTTGAAGACCCCCTCTTCTTCATCCTTTGCTTGCCTTCAACTCGTTGAAGTGGAGTAATTCTATTTGCGCATGTATTGGACCTATGCTCCTTGAGATTAGCCACAATAAGCTGATGACCTGCTCTTAAATTGGGGGCGTGTGTCTCGAGGGCTGGAGCAGCACAAAGTGAGCACCGGCGTTGTGGACTCATAAACACTTGGATTCTAATTGGACGCGGTGTGTTCCATGGCCCAATGGAGAGCTAGCACAGTGGGACTGGGAATACTGCCGCGCTGCCAACGTGGCATGTCCTTGAAATCGAGCGAAGCCTCTCCAACAAGCCGGAATGGGCTCTTGGCAGTGAAGTTTCTTGGTGTCAAAAAGCTACGACTGCTCGTCAGGCTTGGCCTTGTCTGGCCTCTTGGACTGCAGATGCTAGGAGAGCAAACCTGAAAGAACACTCACCAGCTAGTGCACAGTCGGTAGTAGGGCTGAAAGCAGCTCCGCACTGCGTCACCTTCCCCTTATGACCCGCCTTTCACTTTGGATAGGCACTTAGCTCTCACTGCAAAGAAGCAGCATGACGACTATTATGCAGATAGATCTCAAGAGTCAATTCGTTCCTGAGCCACGGGACTATCCCTGCAGAAGGTCATCAATCATGCTTTTGGAGCAATGCACTCGAGTCGCGTAACTTATCTACCAAAAGATAGGAACAGAACGGGTTCATATCCTGTTGAGTGTTGGGAGAAACCGTTGGTAAGCTTAAAGGTACACTAACGCAGTACCGTCATGCAGGTGTTTCATGCACATGCTTGCACCTGCTAAGCTTCTAACAGTTTTAGAAAGGTTGTGCACTTCTATGGCATGAATGCGAGTAAAACTGGGCAGCGAAGGCCAACTTTAGTTGCCTGGGGCTACCTTGCAGCTCTCTTGCTGTTCAGTGACACATATTAAATTTTTAATATGGTTGAGCCTTATTAAAGATTGAGACGTAGTGGAGTAATCTTAGAGAAGATGGTGATGAATAGGGGTTAAATGAATGTTCCCGCTTTCCATCATCCGTTGATTAACATTCAGATGTTTTCATTCGTTGCATTTCTTGCGTGCCTTCGCGATTTGTTGCCCTGAATTTGCCCTACAAATACGTTGTACATGTATAATCATAACCGACTCAATCTGCGGCCAGAACCGTTTCGTCCTTTGTGGACTCATCAGCGCAGCACAGGGAAAATGAGGCCGAACCTGAAAGCAATGAAAAATAAATTTTCCAAAGCCAGATTTAGACCAGGCCCGAACGTACATGTTGTACCTTGCCAGGGTGCTCAAACTGGCAAGTCAGTGAGCTCTGCATAACGCAAACGGCAAAGGCACTATACCGCACTTGAAAAAGTGCTCAACTACTACAAGAGCAGGAGCGAAATACTCGCATCAATCTGAGGACAGAACTGTTTCATTCGTTGTGTACATGTACAAGGCGCGGAGGTGCAGTACGTTTTTTAAAGGTTCTGCAAACACAATCAATCAAGTCGGTCGCATCAGCATGGCCTGGCACTAATGCCGCTTCCTTCACGCAGCGACGACGATTACAACTAGTATTGGCCTTACTTGTTTTGTACGTGGTGGAATTCCACTTAGTCGACTAATGCCGCAGACCTTCAAGTATTTGATTGTACATTGCACCCACAAGTCCTGAGGGCATCTTTTTACTCCACATACACATCCTGACTCACTGCATGTTGTAGATACCTCCACTTCACCCTCAGGGAATGGTTAGTTCCTAGACGGTAGCTCAGTGCACGCGGTGCCGATACGGCCCAAAATAATTACCACCAAATCTGTCCAAAAGTAATAATCAACACCCCCCGATTGCGACAGCTGTGACGGAAATATGATGTTGCACTAGACCACAGAATACCCACTGTTAGACGTGAGCTCAGAGTTGAAACGATCAGAATTCAACTCGTAATCAGATGTAGCAGGTACATGTATACCATTACTAGTGATGGTTCATGCTGCTGCAGGAGGGTATAGGAAATACATTGTACCGACACGTGGACTTGCACAAAGGTAGTTGTATTATTCGAGACCTCCTGCCACTTGGCGAGAGCAAGTCCACATGTGAAAAATGGTTTACTAGCTAGTACCCATGTTGTGTAGCTTTCGACTAACCTGGTTCTCCGGCTGTAGTTTATCCATGTCACAGTATAATGATTGTACTTTCACTGTGTACTCGTGTTATATCACTTTATTTATTATTATTTTATTTATTTATTTATTACAGCATCTCATAGCACAGTGAGAACACCGGCCAATACAAAGAGAGAGGGTGTTAGCCAACCACGGCAAGGAAGGGAGAAGGGGAGGAGAAGAAAAAAAAAAGGAACCGGCATGGACAAGTAGTGATTGCAACAAAATGAGAAACACAAAATCAAAGTCAAGGCGCGACAAGGCTCTTAAAAAGGCGGAGGGAAGAAAGGTCCTTAGCTTCTTGGGGAAGTGCCAGCCACGCAGAGTACGCAGTGAAAAGGGGAGAGTGAAGTAGAAAGGAGGACTTGGGTTTCGGAAGGGAAAGGGAGTTTCTCGTGCTACGGAAGAAAACCAGTTGAAACAGTGGAGGTGAGGTGGACACAGATTGAGTTTGAGAGAATGGATAAGGTAACTTTGCCTCTCTCTATCGTCAGCTGTTATGATTGATGTATTCATCCGTTTCCAGTTTCATTTGTTGTAGTAAGACTCGGATGGAGAGCCAAGGATAAATTTATAAAAAATAAAAGGTACCAAGGAAATACATACTTCGCTATTATGTTCACTAACACGGTCAGTGTCGTGCAATGTTATCACATGAGCTGATTGTTTAGTAACTCGTGGTTTAGTGGACAGCGTAACTTGTAGTTCCTTGGTCCTTTTAATTTTCTATGAAGTATAATAGTTGATATTTCGTGTGTTTTAGGACTGTTTTATTACATGTATATTCCTTTTGCCTATTCTGCAGTTGCACGCGTGTGTTCACCTCGTCGTCTATTCTGCAGTTGCACGCGTGTGTTCACCTCGTTGGCCTCGCTCGTTACTCATTTCTTTTGTTCATTTGGTTTATGCGACGACTAGCCAAGCTTGCTTGGTGATGTCAACGCGAACAAACATCATACTAACAATAATAAGTCCACATGTGCAGGGTGGAATTATGACTTGGTTCATTTACAAATGTTATCTGGTTGCTCACGAACAGGGAGAGGGAGAGGGAGAGAGAGAGAGAGAGAGAGAGAGAGAGAGAGAGAGAGAGAGAGAGAGAGAGAGAGAGAGAGAGAGAGAGAGAGAGAGAGAGAGAGAGAGAGAGAGAGAGAGAGAGAGAGAGAGAGAGAGAGAGAAAGAGCGAGAGAGAGAGAGAGAGAGAGAGAGAGAGAGAGAGAGAGAGAGAGAGAGAGAGAGAGAGAGAGAGAGAGAGAGAGAGAGAGAGAGAGAGAGAGAGAGAGAGAGAGAGAGAGAGAGAGAGAGAAAGAGAAAGAGAGAAAGAGCGAGAGCGAGAGAGAGAGAGAGAGAGAGAGAGAGAGAGAGAGAGAGAGAGAGAGAAACAGAGAGAGAGAGAGAGAAGAGAGAGAGAGAGAGAGAGAGAGAGAGAGAGAGAGAGAGAGAGAGAGAGAAGAGAGAGAGAGAGAGAGAGAGAGAGAGAGAGAGAGAGAGAGAGAGAGAGAGAGAGAGAGAGAGAGAGAGAGAAAACCACACATGAACGGGCACATGCATGTACGATAGGCATAATTATACAACACGCGTGCGCGCACAAGCATGCATATACATGTACACGCACACACACGCACACACACACACACACACACACACACACACACACACACACACACACACACACACACACGTGCACAAGCATTCATGGGCATGCAGTTGTGATATGCATGCGATCAGTGGACTAGAACGGGATTAGACTCGAATACTTGTAGAGTTTTTACTTTAGGCAAAATGATGAATTCATTTTGACAGAGGAGAGGCATTGTAGGAAGCATAGTGATCACGAAATTTAAAAGAGAAATGTTATGGTTCGCGTGAAAGTAGTTAGTTAGTCAGTTGAGGGTGGTTACGGTTATGCAGATAAGGAGTTTTAGTACATGTACATGCTCCAATTTGCTTTCAGTGTCAGCGATGAATGCAGATAGGCGGACGGTGCGGATGAGTAAATTATTGCATGTTACCAACCCTGTCTGATCTGACACGGCCCAAGCCTTTACAAAATGCTGTTGGATCGCTGCCAACGGTTGTGAGTGGGTCCTCGCTTGGTAAGAAGAAGGACGCGTCCTTAGACTAGCTCAGACCGCATCTGTAGAAGACAGCACATGTGCCACATGCGCTGCGTAATTCTAATAGAGCAATGGTGCGTCCACTGGATTGGCACTCACTGTCACTGAACAGGCCTGCAGGGCAAAGCTAGTTTGCCATAATGTTGGAGGACAGACCTCAATCACGTCGCTGGCAACCGGCCAATTTCGGGCAGCAACATTGTTCTCGCTCCGCCACTGTCAACATAACTGAAAATAATGGATGCAAAGCTGTGCTCGTAATTCCAATGTCAAGCAGATCACATGGCTCAATCATGTACAGGTAGGTACTGTATGTGCAAGGTAGTGCACGGGCACAAAATGTACAATGTACAGTGCTGGCAACTGAAATCCGACCCCTGAGCCGTGCGCTCACATCGCAAAGACCCAACACGGGGACGGTAAAACTACGAAACAGAGACCGATAGAATGTGAACCCACCGCTCAGAGGGCGGGTTCAGTTGGCAGCACTGTACATGTGGATATAAATCAAGTATTAAAGTAGTTGAAGTGTGCAATGCTATTGCAAGAGCTGGTATTGACGACTTTCAACCCGCTGTTTAACCACTCATGCCAAGCTCAACTATGCCTAGTACGTGCACAGGTATCATTTCGGTCAGGCCAGACCTTATTTTGGGATGGAACTCAGAAATAGTACATAGTGTACATGTACATCGTTTCTTGTACACGTATTGTATTGCTGTTGGTTGCAGGCACACACATGAATAGCAGGCCAAGTGAAGTATCGTTGACTTACCAATGGCAATGGTGGAACTGATCGTTCGCATACCATTGATTGCATGTACATGTACAATGTACGTTGTGAAAGTGCTGCACGAAAATGCGCCTTCTATTTGCCGTTTTCGAGGAGAGGAGCAGCGGGCTTGTCGCCCTCGTGGGCTAGCCCCGCTCGTTCCGCACGGCCTAATCCAGCCCGGTACATTCTACATCCCGGCGGGGATAATGCATACTAGATAATAGCCGGGCAGTCGTTGAGTGAAGTATGATCGTTCAAACAAGACCTGTCATTCATTAGTTAAAAGTCAGGTGATGCCATGAAGGAGGCTCTCTGGCACCGACCGGCACAGATTCTGTATCCTTAGCTAGAGGCTTCTCTCTCCCTTTACCTAACAACTAGGCAAAGATTCTGTGTCCTTAGCTAGAGGCTTCTCTCCCCCTTTACTTGGTTAGAACGAAGGGAAGGAATGCCTCATGAACACTGTATATTAAAGAACACAGATTGCACGCACGAAAGTGACCACCACACGATGCTTCAGATAGTCGATACCATGGAAGTTTTCGCTAGATACACCAAAAACAATGAACAGATAACACGCACAGTTACCGTTGAATTTCTAGCCCTTTTTCAATGGTGTCAGTGTGGTGTGCTGTCCAGAAGAGCATGTGTGTTCAGCACTGCTGTAGGCAACCTTTTGATCCGGCTTCATGAGCTCTGCTGCTAGTCTACTGCTATGAATACTGTACTGGAGTTAGAGGTTTAGACCCTGGCAGTGTCTACAGTTTCCGACCTGCAAAACACACACACGCACACACACCACACACACACACACACACACACACACACACACGCACACACACACGCGCACACACACACGCACGCACGCAAACGTCCACATTGTAGTCAGAGCCTGTCTTAAAGACCTTCCTCCGAGCCTCCGAGGATGGCAGTTGGCACTGCACACATGGGGAATTATCCACCGCAAATCTCTGTGGCAGTTCACCACTAGGAGCTTGTTCAGTGTAGGACAATATAGATGCAATCACTTGCAAAGAATATGG